ATCTATCTATGTATCTAATCTATCTATCTATCTTCTGTTAATCTTTCTATATGTCTATCTATCTATCTATCTATCTATCTATATATCTATCTTTCTATCTATCTATCTTTCTTCCTGTCTGTGTATCAGTCAGTCGATCTATATGTCTATATATCTATCTATCTGTCTATCTACCTATCTATCTATTTATCTATCTATCTATCATCATCATCATCTAAGAAAGTCATAGTTAATATATTTGATATTCATTGGTATAATTGTGTGAATTTACTTACGTTTTGTTAAAGTCATTGATTTTCTTAATTGGTGAAATGAGAATAAAGCATTTATTTATCACAACTTTAACATCATTGGATTTAAAGAAATTGTCATCCACGTAAAATTGTACCGTACACACCCTATTTCCTAAGCCCCATATATATGTACCTAAGAAGGTTAATTTTTTATCAAATTCATTTTGAATCGTATCGTGTGTTGTCTTGAGCAAATGAAACTATCCTATTGCTTCTCCCCCCCCCCCCTTACCTACGCAAAAACATTTTTTTTAAAATTTTACATGCTTTGTTCTTGTTTGGATGAGTGATAAGTGCATTAGTGTATGCTTTTTGCATATGCGGTTTCGCTGCATTGATTGCATTAACTCAATTTTCGTATAAAAAGTATATTTAAATGGTAATTTTTTTACTACTTTATAATTTTCATGAAAGTATATTTTTTATAAGAATAAACGTAAAATCTTACGAAATGTTAAAAATACAAAGCTTAAGTTGTATTTAATTTTAGAAAATTTTTGCAAGATAAAAAGCAATCTATTATACATATCAATTATACTTTTAAGAAGGGAAAATACATTATCAGTTTTGTCAAGCAAAATTATAAATTAAAAAACCAGCAACTTAGAGCTGTGGCTAAAATAAGCAATTACGCTATGACGTCATTTTCGTGATTATTTAGAACAAAATCAATTTTAATTTTATTTCGCAATATTAACAACGCACCAAAAGACGCACTAAGAATAACATATGTTTGGGTTTTCCCGATAAATGTGATTAAGATGAACTTCTTAGATCATAATATTTTGATCAATAATTTTTTTTCATAGCTTTTACATTCGGATAAAATGCTTAAAATAGTTCCTTAGTTGTTACTTTAAATATATTTGTAGTTTATAATAATAATACTTAAACTTTTGCTAAAATAAAAGCGGAAATATAATATTTTTTTGCGCATGTAAATTTATTCGATTTCCGTAAAATAATAGAAAATAACTATAATTGTTTTTAAGAATCCGAACCTATCAAAATATATTCGGCTCTTTGGCGTTATGTCATTATAGCTCATTCATATATATATTATATATATATATATATATATATATATATATATATATATATATATATATATATATATATATATATATATATATATAAATATATATGTCTCTCTTTCGTTATATATATATATATCATATATATATATATTATATATATATATATATATATATATATATATATATATATATATATATATACATATGTATATATATATATGTATATACATACTAAAATATTTGACCCGATTTAACCGAGATAATAATGGAAGGCACTTTGTGATATTTTCATGTCCTTCTATCTATATCTTAAGGGGTCGTCCATTAATTACGTCAACAATTTTTAAGCCCCTCCCTGCCCCCTTGTCAACATCTGTCAAACTTTCAATGAATTCAATGAAGATAAATTTATAAATACATTTTAATTTGTGCTGATCTATTTTTATGTCAATAAAATTGTCTGAAAAACATTTCATTACATATTTAGCTTGTTAATCAACAAGTTAAAAAGTTTTTACACTTAAATTTTATAATGCAGAATCAATTGAAAGGTTCTTAAAGACTAATTATCATTGTTTGAGGTATAAATATGATTATAATATTTATTGTCAGTGAAGCTGACAATTATAGTATAGTTTCTAGCTGTTATCATCTTGCCAAGGAGTAGCTAAGTTTGCTCTATCGTAACAATGGGCATCAGGGACATCATTGTGGTAGGGCAGGGGGGCATTTGCCCCCACCACCTAATTTGCAGGTTTTATTTAAATTGCTATGTACTTTAATGTACTGTGGCGCCTCCAGTAATAAACTGCAGTCAGTCTAGCAAAAAAGGAAGTGAGTAAAACAAATAAAGGAAAGCCGGAAAAGGGAACACAACAGTTAGCCTTTTAAATGAAAATAGCACTTAAATTATGTAACTTATTAATTTATCCAAATTTTCTTGTCTTTTTTTACTTTTATTTTCAAGTCTATTTATTTATTTTACATAGCTCGAACATTATTCCTCGTCCTCCTGCCATAATTATTTTCTAGTTCTATACCTCTTCTTAGAAAGAAAAAACAACAACATTGATTTATTTATTATTTTTTTTGGAAACGGAGACTAGATTTCGACGTCATTGAATTTGACAAGTGTGGTTGCACTGTCGTTGTCAAGCAGCTTATTTTGTCACGTGACCAAACAAAGATGGCAGTCTGTACACTTTATAATAGGTAGGCATGCACCAAAATTCTTTCAATATTTATCGATAAAACCTGACATTCTTTTAGTAGCCTAATTATTTTCGCTTAATATTATTATTTAAAAATACATTTCACAGCATTGTGACATATTTGATAATGAATGACGAAATCAATTTAAATTTATTACTAAGTTACTGCTAAGCCTAAGCTACTATATACTGACAGTCTGACTATATTTTATTAATATTAATAATTAATAATATTATATTTAATTATTATTATTATATTTATTCAAATTATGGAACCTCAAATAACTTTGATTGAATGAAACAACTCTTACTGCTGCTATATGATGATGATTAGGTGAACTATAATATTAATATCTCTTTACAATATGATTATCTGTTTATCAATAATACAATGGCATGGTCTATAGCAGCGAGGAGTCTTTAAATTAAAAATAATACTATCTATACTATAATGACTTTAACTACTATACTATGACTATACTGTAGTATACTATAGCCTTAGTTGACTATAAACTATGAGTATGACTTAAGTCTATAGTATATAATAATATATAATATAATAAGTATAGGCTATAATATAACTATAAGTGTATGTATAAGTATAAGGCATAGGCTATTATATTTATAAGCATAGTCATAGAGTAATTAAATTACATTTAGGCTTTTGGCTTTTACTTTTAGCCCTAGTTTAAAGTAAAAGTGAGTGATGAATTATATTGATTGGCAAGTGGTTCTTAGCATTAATATTTTTATTATATATTTTTATTATATGTAGTTATTATATGTAGCCGAGTGGTGACGTTGGCTGACAGTTTCAAAATCACAATAAAACAATCAGGCCTGAGGACTATAGCTTTTTAATGTTAGGTACAATCCGTTGACAGAGACAACAATAAAATCTCTGGCACATGCAACCGACTCGAGGTATTCGTTCTCACACAACAATCTCAAAATGTACACACTCCAAGTCCCAGTTCACCCTCCGTTAAACAAGATATGAACATCAGGATCACAAAAGCAGCAGCAACTATGGCTAAATCAAATAAGTGGGTGTGGAATAATCTTAAACTAACTTAAACTATATGGCAGTGAAGTTATGGACCACATATGCCAGTCATGAGAGGAAACTTAAAATGTTTCACCAAAATGCCTATTTTGCCTTTGGCACATTTGATGGCAGGACATGGTGCCTGACTCGGAGGTTTTGGAATGAGCCAAAATGTGAAGCATGTTTTCAACCCCTTCACTAGTTAGGTCATGTAAGGAGAATTGAGAAAGGCTGTTTTCCAAAAGCTCTGCTGTATAGAGAGTTGGCTGAAGGGGCAAGACCTATTGATGGAAGCTGTGATTTAAAGACGTTTGCAAAAAGAGAATGAGGTAAGCCAACAAGGAAATCAGTGAATTGGAGCTCATCACTGAGCATTTTTCCAGCTGGCAAACCACAGTTTATGAAGGAGTCAAAAAGGCCAAAGTTGCTTGAAATGAAGCTCTTGCAGCAAAAAGAGCATCAAAGAAGGCAAAATTTAAGTAGGAGTCAAGGTTCTACTGCAAGAAATGCAGTCCAGACTGTCAGTCTCGTAAGCCATTTGATGAAGTGTCCATAGCTGCTCCATCATCTCGTGAAGATGAAAGGATGCCACATATATATATATATATATATATATATATATATATATATATATATATATATATATATNCATAATACATATTCAATAGAAACATAATATAAATACAAATATATAAATTTATAAATATATATATATATATATATATATATATATATATAAAATAATATAATTTGCTTGAAATATGATGCCTAATTAGCACAATTCTTTTTCCAGGGCTGGGCTTGGTCTGTATGGCCCTTATGTCAGCTTTAAATAATAATAGAAATATAATCAAGTGTTTAGTGAAGATAGCCCACAATTGATTAAAAATCAGTTTTAAATAAAATTTGATAGAAACAACACTTCTTGACAGAGCTTCAATAAGAAATAATGAAGAACAGCACATCTTTAACTTCATTATCATCCATGGACAAAGGTTAGATTTTTTTTGTTGAAAACTTTTAATTAAATTAGGATATTTTTCAATGCTATTGAATTGGCTTATCCTTTTAACCCTCTGAAGACTTTAAATTATTTATTTATTTTGATTAGTTATTTGGATCAAATACAATTTACAATGTTATGATTTTTTTTTTTCTACAAAGAATGAAGTGGCAAATTCAATTACAAATAATATAGTCAATAAGTACTATTATTGATTAATGCTGTTTTTCTTGAATACAGACTTATCTCTCAACTTTCTAAGCCAATATGGTAGGGCTAGCCCAGCCCAGAGATCATCTGTCTCAAACCCACCAAGTGCTCGCATGGTGAATAATAATAAAATTCAAGAAGATGCTAACAGTCAGCTTCAAGATAATCCAGATGGGCTTCCACATCTAAGTGGCAAAAAACGACAGAAACGTCGTGACTTGATAACAGTTAATCTGAGTGGAACCAGATATGAAGTTGGTATGTGTGTATTATCAAGGTTTGACAGAGATTTCCTTGTAGAAACCATCTTTTTTTGTGCTAATTTTTGTTAAGCTTTAAAAATTTCAGAGAATACTGTGTACCAAATATTCTACTGCTTGCTTTTGCGAATCTCAAAATGTAGATTAAATATTTTTGTGACCCAGAGAAAGTGAGCTAAACTAGCCTGAAGAACTTTTACAAGTGGGAATAATGGTAAAAATAGAGAAACAATTGAACTCCTACTCATATACCCATTTAAATTTTGCATTTTAGGATTTCTTCCAAATTTAATTCATCACAAAATTTAAAAACTCAATTATTTAACTGTGGTGATTCATTATTCTTCACGCCTTACCTGATCAATCCCATCCTAGTATATGGTATTGCTTCCAAATAATACATAAAGTAACAATAAAGTAACATTTTAAAGAAATTAATTAATTTATCCTGCTTGTTTTCCAGAACAAAGTATAGGTTATAATATTTTTTTTGCTATAAAAATAGAATTTCGTTTTATTTACAGTGCGTCAGGTGGTAGAGAAATTTGGATTTACCATTACTAAAGATGACGACCCAACTTCGTAAGTCTTTGTCAAATTTATACTTTTATATTTATATAATTTTTTTATTTACAACCACTTAAAATGTATTCATTATGAATAAATCATCAAATTTATTTTGCTTTATTTACTTCCACAGATATTTGATATGGAATGACACTTTTGTTTCACCAGATAAGATCAGTGAACTTAAACCATACCAACATATAAATCATTTTCCTGGTATGGTTGAAGTAACAAGAAAAGATTCTTTGGCCAGAAACATGATAAAGTAAGTTTCTATTCTATCACTCTAAAAATGGTTGGATTGGTTCAGACTTTAGAGACAACAGCTATGCTGTACTTTTCTGAACATATTAACTGATGATTTTTCCAGGTGACAATAAATCTTTTTTTTAGAATAAACACAACATAAGATAACATCAATAATCTATAATTATATGGCCATGGTAACCCTAAAGTATAGGAAACTTGTTACCTGCACACAAATGACAATCAACTTTTGGTTATAAGTTATAGAAAACGCATAAAGGGCTGCTCTTGATATGTTCAAGTTTGTGATGTTTACAATATGAAACTTACTAAATGAAAAAAATAATGTTAAGCCTTTTTTAACAGAATGAGTAAAGTGATGCCAGAAGAATTCAACTTTGTTCCCCGGACATGGATATTACCAACAGACTATTCAGTACTTCAGAATTTTGCTAAAGAAATGAAGATAAAAAGAAAGTCTAAAACCTTTATTGTGAAACCTTCAAATGGTGCACAGGGGCATGGGTAAGCCTTTAAAGTCCAGTAGTCTATAAATGACATTGCAAAAAAAAACAAAAAACACTAAGACAATTTAGTTTCTTATCATTATTGAGCATGTTTTTGTTTTTTTTAATTATTTGAAAAAATGCAAAAATAAAAATAATTTTTTTGTTCTTTTCTCCAGAATATCATTGTATAAAAATGCAGAGAAAATCCCAGCATTGGAACACACTGTTGTTCAAGAATACATTGATAAGCCACTACTTCTCGATGGTTACAAATTCGATTTAAGAATTTATGTTCTAATTACATCATGTGACCCTTTAAGAATATTTCTCTTCAATGATGGACTTGTGCGCCTAGCCACTGAAAAATATCTCCCCCCACATGAAAGCAATATTGTAAGTTGTTAAAAAGTCTTGCATAAATTTCTTTTTTTCCTCTTAAATAAGTAAAGCAAACTCTTAAAAGAATTTGTTTAATTTAAAAAATTATGATACAAATAAACAACATATCAATTCTAATTATTATTAAGGTCACTCAATTTGGATAACATGATATGGAGAACTCTTCTGTGTTTCGTAAATGGAAACCCACTCTCCTTAAATGGCAAAGCACAGAGTATGTGCTTCTCAATTGTACTGTATAAATTTATCCAATAATCACTTAAAATTTCTTTTAACGTGCAATTAAATTTCATTATTAATGTGGCTTTGTAGGTCATGCTTTTACAAAACAGTACTCAGCACCCAACACGGTCGTGGAATTTGACCTCAGGGTTAGGCTATCAAAACATGGCATGAACATTGTCTCCCCCATCACTTAGAATACTTAAATATTGGGAACTACTATGTGTGCTATATGTTCAATAATTAATTTCTCTGGGACCCTAGTGTATAATGCAATGAATTATATCTAGTTGGAAAGGGGATTTTACTTGCTATACCTTAGTTTATTTGCAAGTCTACATCGTTTGAGGATATTGTAATATTAATTAATTATAGGAGTTTCCAAATTCAGCCATGGTTGGTCCCAACCCCTTCTATTTAACATATCTCAAAAATTATTTAACTTATATAAATATAAAAGTGTATCTTAGACAAAACGTGAACAGACACATATAAGTCTTTAGGGTTTTGGTCCAGGATTTTGAAATTTTTCCGGGTTGGTATCTCTGAGCGATTGTCAGTCAATTTACCACAGGAAATCTAGCAGAAGGCAAGTAATAGACCATCTTGTTTGGGGTGTGACATACATGCCCTCTATTCTGTCCAAACATCCCATTTTATAGAGCCTGCGCTGATAAGTTTTTTATTCATATTTTTAATTGCACCCCTAAAGTGTGCCACTGTTCACCAGCCCATTCGGACGCTTTATATTGTCCTTTTTCTTAAGATTTTTCTTTGGCTTTGCCCTTCAATAAAGTTACAGTTCTCAGGACCTGATTTTCTCAAATTTATAAATACACATATTAAAACTATTAGTCACATCACCACTTGGCTACATTAAGTTTTAAAATACAATAAGTTAATGAAAAAGATGTTTTTAGCTGAATAAAAAAACAAATAACTCTATTGTGCAAATTGTCACTGCACCCATGGCCGAGGAATGTTATAGAAATTGTGTAGCTTCAGAGCATGCATAAAGATGCTATTATTAATTATGAATGATTATATAACAAAATATTTGATAAAATACTATTCAACTTTGTTTGTTTTTTTAAAATTAAATGTTTGAATGGACTATCAAAAAATGGAAGTATTATGGTCAGGGTGAGGCTAATTAGGATTGAGTAATCACAAATTACTTCATCTCACGTTATTAACAATTATAATTTTGCAGCTATATATCATAAAATAACTAGACATGAAAATGCAGCCAATTATAATCACTGGGTATTGTTATAAGTCTGTTAATTTCATAATGCATAATCACCTGTTTGTATCATACACCTATTTATTCCATAATCACCTGTTTATCTCATATTTTAGAATCATCTGTTTATGCACCTGACAAACTACTCAGTTAACAAGCAAAGTGAGTTTTATGATAAGAATGTTGCACATGACATAGGGAGTAAGAGGTCAATTCGATACTTCAATGAATATCTGCGACGCAGTGATATTGATGGGAGCCTACTTTGGCGCAACATTTCAGACATGATCGTTCGCACACTTCTTTTGGCCCAGCCTCATGTTCTGCATGCTTACAGGATGTGCCGCCCAGGTGTGCCATCAGGAAGTGATAGTGTTTGTTTTGAGATACTCGGCTTTGATATTATGATTGACAGAAAACTGAGGCCTTGGTTGCTTGAGGCAAGTAAAAATAAAACATCATTTTTTTTCTTCATATTTTATTCAGATACATTGAATTATAATTTTTTTTTCACTTTTTTTTTTTTTTTCAAATTAAATGTAGGCCTGCTGCACACCAGACTAGAGACCGACCGAATATCGGTTTTGGCGCCGAAACTGGCCATTTTATCACTTTCGGCCTAGTTTCGGTTTCAGCCAAACCTGAAAAGTTAACTAGTTGCTTGAGGAAAGTAAAAATAAAACATCATTTTTTTTCTTCATATTTTATTCAGATACATTGAATTATAATTTTTTTTTCACTTTTTTTTTTTTTGCAAATTAAATGTAGGCCTGCTGCACACCAGACTAGAGACCGACCGAATATCGGTTTTGGCGCCGAAAGTGGCCATTTTATCACTTTCGGCCTAGTTTCGGTTTCAGCCAAAACTGAAAAGTTAACTTTCGGCTTATCTACGGCAGAAAGAGAACAGTTAACTTTCGGTTTATTTTCCGTTTCGGACGAAATTGACTTAGACTTTCGGCCATCCGGCCAAAAGTGACTTGAGGTTTTCGGTCATCTACCAGAAGTCATTAGTGATCGACGTTTTGCTGTCATTGCATGTTATATATGACTAATACTTAGCGAAGGCGGCCTACAGCTGCATGATAACCTACTTGACCTGTCCTACATTTCCAAACAAATTACATTTCAATTAGGCCTAGATAAATGTAAACAGTTTAGTGGAAGAAAAACTATGGGAATAGTAATATTTATATCATTATTTTTGTTTTAATTTTTGTTTCAAACATAAAATTTGGAACTGTAGGTTCATTCAGTTCATTCATTTTTGGTATTCATTTTGATTTATCATTATCATGCTCATCAAAGGTGAATAATATTGCATAATCCATGGGAATGGTAAAATTTCCATTTTAATTTTTTTTTTTTAAATTTTTTAAATGTTAAAAAGCAAACTTAGGCCTTTTCAAACCATTCATTTCTTGAAATTCATCATCATACCGATAAACATTATTATTCACGAAATAACATGCGTTTGCAAGTATCACGGACTCGTATTATAATTATGTAGTAGGTCTACTGCAGACCTGTGTACTTTTATGATATTGGCGACCAATTTAGGTGTCTTTTGCGACTCTACGTCAAGACCCATGATCAGAACAACAATTTTAAGAGACCTGGTTTAAAAAAATAATTTTCGCCACCAATGGGGGTGAAGGAGGTTGGTCTCTGAACTAAATAATTACGTCACCAGCACGGAAAGACTAGTGTGTTGTTACTAGGTTAAATATCAATACAGTGATATCTTGCAAGCTATTAATGAAAACACAAAGCATTAGTATTACGAAAACAGCAAAACATTGTGGTGATATTTTTATACCCTTAATAACAAATATTTAGGTGGCAATTGGCTCTATTAGAGCCACAATAATTATTGTGGGTATATTTCCTAGGTTGTAATTATATTATAAAAGCAAAGGGCACCCAAGAGTCTATTTTGCATTAATTTTGCCCCTTTTGTAATAATTTTTCCCCCCCCCCCCCCCCCCCCCCCCCCCATTTTTGCCAAATTTTCACATTTTCTCCTACCATACTAATTTTAAAAAATTTTAAAGCAGTTTAAATTACTTTTAAAATAAAATGGTAAAATCCAAAGTATTCATTAGATCAAGGGTCTCAAACTCAAACCATCAGTGGGGCTGCAGGAGGTAGAGTCTGAGTGAGACTGGGCCGCATCAAATATCCCACAATAAAGCAATTACAAATTCATTAAATTACAACTTTACTTTCTGCTAAACCTTTTTAAATAAAAAGTAAAAAAATTAAGGGGTTCTCAAGAACTAGGCTTCACTTTCTTCCAACAACTCACTGTTGCCAGAGAACTGGCAGCGCTTCTTTTTACACAGCTGAGCAACTTTGGTTTGAGTGTGGAAGCAACTGAGACCCATCAGTAAGTTTGGCCCTGAACTTTGACTTGTTAAAGTGCATAGTGGAAAAGAGCTTTTCACACAGATAGGTACTCCCAAAAAGTCATATGATCCGCTTGAACAATCTAAAAATGTCAGGGAAGGTGGAGGGCAATGCAATAAAATGTCATGCTTGTCTGTTCCATTCAGCTCCCCGTGTGGGGCATCTTGCACATTAAAGGACAAAGGGTCAGCAAAAAGCTGAAAAGTGGCTGTCTTTGTTTTGAAGTCTAAAAAATGTGATACAATTATTTCTGTAAGCAGTAGGGAGGAGCAGGCCATAGTTATGAATTATTGTTGCAAAGGAAGCAGCTATTGTAGGTAGAATGAATTTTGACGTTTTATCGTAGTAAAGGCCCTTTTTACTAACCCTATTTTAAAAGACAATCCTACTATATGGATCAGAAACTTGGAAAACAACGGCGAGCATTACGCAGAAAGTACAGACCTTCATAAACATATGCCTTAGGAAGATCCTGAAAATCAAATGGCCAAATATTATCACCAACAAAGATCTACTAGAAAGGACTCACCAGGTGCCCATCAATGAAGACATCTTAAAAAAAAGATGGAGATGGATAGGACATACTCTCCGAAAACCCCCAGATAGCACCACCAGACAATGCCTAACATGGAATCCACAGGGAAAAAGAAAGAGAGGAAGGCCAAAGAATACATGGAGACGCAAGCTAGAGGCAGACACGCAAAATATGGGATACACCTGGAAAAAACTGGAAAGGAAAGCACAGGGCCGTGATGAATGGGGAATTTTTGTGGATGGCCTATGCCCCAGACTGGGTAAAAAGGCATAAGAAGAAGATTTTGAAAGTGACCAAGCTGACAGGCTCGGAATTTCCCTCACTCGTAAACACTAGCGGCATTTTTAATATGGATCCTTTGATAATTTATCAGATTGCTACGATTTAAACAATTAAGGTTATGCATTACCCACCAACTTACTTTTAAAAACTTTTCTCAAAGCCGCATCCTTGCCATGTTTGTCTCATAAACAGCTTTAAAATAAAAACTTTTATTCCGATTTTAAAACGGTTCTTACCATTATAATCATCATACAAAAATATATAGAAACATAAAAAAAATCAGAATTAGACTAGTCCGTGAGATTTGACTGAAACTGTCACGGAGAGTCACATAATAGATAGAATGGGGAAAATGGGCCAGCCGCATCAACACTAAACTTTGCTGTCATGTAGCGGGCCGCAAAATATCCTCTTGCCGGTCACAAATGACTCGCGGGCCGCGAGTTTGAGACCCCTATATTAGATTTTATTCACGATTATCTCATTTTTATACTTTCCCCCATCATTTTCGATGTATGCAGAATGTATGCGTGAACGAATTTCAAAATATCTAAATATTTCGGTTTCGGCCGAAAGTCATTTTTAAACTTTCTGCCTATTTTCGGTTTCGCCGAAAGTCATTTTTAAACTTTCGGCCTATTTTCGGTTTCGAACGAAAGTCATTTTTAAACTTTCTACCTATTTTTGGTGGTGCCGAAAGTCATTTTTAAACTTTTGGCCAAAATCAGAAAATCACTTTCGGTCGGTCTCTACACCAGACCTTAGTGTAACTCTCGGTGAAAAAAATATTTTATTAATATTTTAATGCATGTCACCTTTACGATCAAATTTGTTAATTTTTTTTAATACATAGAAAAGGTTAAAAGTTAATGTTTAAATACATATATTTCTTTGGAAAAAAAAAGGAAGTTGATAGAGGAGTTACAGAATATTCTTTAATAAAATATTTTCTTCATAGATAAACAGATCACCAAGTTTTGGTACTGATGAAAACTTGGACTTGGAAATAAAATCTGCTTTATTAGATGATACATTCAGGCTTCTAAACATAAAGTAAGTTATTAAATGTTCAAAATATAAATTATGATTCTGTCACAGTCAATATAATAAGATTTAACTTTGTAAAGTTTTAAATGTTAAGTTTGTGAAAATGAAATGTGATATAATTGTTTGTATTCCTGAATAAAGCTTTCTTTATGAGGTTCATGACTAGTTACTTTCATTAACTTTATATTTGTTTTCCAAATTTATTGAAACCAATGAATAAAGAACCCACGTGGTGGGGAAACACTCTTTAACTACTCCTCACCAACTGTCCACATCTAATCCCAAAAGTTGAGGTCATCCCCGGGATATCCGACCATTGCACACCGTATTGTGAATTTCAGGTCAACATACTAAAAAAGAGACAGATCATACGAGAAATCACAGTTTATGTCAAGGCAGACTGGGATGGCTGAGGAATGCAACAACAGAGCTGAGCTCAAACATACAGAAGATTCAGGGTACAGCGACAACAAAAGAGCTGTGGGTGAAGTTTAAGACAACAATCACTGATGCAGTGAAGAAATACATACCATACAAGACCACCAAACCTAAGATAAATCAGCCATGGGTCACGGCTTAAATCTGTAGGCTAATCCACAGGACAGACTCCCAATACAAGCAATTGAAGAAAAATGGCTCGATTGAACTGAGCCGAACCATCCAACGCTTACTGCGCAGATCTTACTGGAACTACCTGAACGGCATCTTCTCAGAGGAAGACACTTTGACCATGGGTGTCAAGAACAAGTGCTCCTGGAGCTATGTGAAGGACCAAAAGTCCTCAAATGCTGGAGTTCTCCCCCTGAGGTGGGATGGCCATTTGACATCTGACCCAAAAGCACAGGCTGACATACTCAATCAGCAGTTCCAGTCGGTCTTTGCTGACGGTAGAGAGTACTCTGAGACTGAGTTCTGAAGACCAAAATGATGAACAGAGCCTACCCTGTCATGGAAGACATCCAGATATCAGAACAAGGTGGGTTTGCCCTCCTCAATACCCTCAAGAATGTGGTCCTGACAACATCAAACCACGAGTGCTCAAAGAATTAGCCAAAGAAATCGCTCCTGCACTGACAATCCTCTTCCAATCATCACTGTGCACAGGAAATGTTCCAGCAGACTGGAGAACAGCGCATGTCACTCCAATCTACAAGAAAGGGGAGCATTCCGATCCTGCCAACTATCGTCCGATATCCCTCACCAGCGTGGTATGCAAACTGTTGGAGCACATAATCGTAAACGCAGTCATGAAGCATCTTGAAAGCCAAAATATACTCAAAGACTGTCAACATGGCTTCCAAGTCAATAGATCATGTGAGACCCAGCGCCTTGAATTTTTAGAAGACTTGACAAATCTGGAGAACAGCAAGCAAACTGATGTGCTGGTGATGGACTTCTCAAAGGCATTTGACCGTGTCAATCATAAACTTCTACACAAACTTCAGAGATATGGGATCCAAGGCACTACTAAAACATGGATCTCTAGCTTCCTCAGCAACCGATGCCAAGCAGTAGTGGTGGACAGTACAAGCTCCTCCTTTGTCGATGGGAAGTTAGGGGTCCCACAGGGATCAGTGATTGTGCCCCTGATTGTTCCTAGCATACATCAATGACCTACCCGAGAAACTGACATCCCAAGCAAGACTGCTCCCAGATGACACCGCGGTGCATAGCACAATCGCCAACAGATCTGACCAGGACCAGCTACAACAGGACCTCAGTCGGTTAGCTGAAGGGAAGATGAGCTGGGACATGGAATTTCATCCTGCCAAGTGCCAGACACTGTCAGTCTCTCGAAGCTGTACCCCTCTACACTACCATTACGAACTTCACGGCCATAAACTTGAGCCAGTTTCCTCTGTAAAGTACGGGTGTTACCATTCAAAGAGAGGTCCGCTGGGACGAGCATATTAACAATGTGTTCAACCAGGCAAACAAGATCCTGGGGTTATTAAGGCGTAATCTAAAGATTGGAAACTCCAGTGTGAAAGAAAGAGCCTATAAAGCCTTTGTCGTCCGGTTTTAGATTATGCATCTTCAATCTGGTACCCATTCACCTAGCAGAGCATCAACAGGTTGGAGGCGGTCCAGCGACGGGCAGCACGCTTTGTCCTGGACAGGTTCTGGAATACCTCTAGTGTTGGCAGCATGCTGGAAACACTAGGATGGTCACCATTGGAGGAATGACGACGACTATCCAGGCTCTCCATGATCTATAAGAACAATAATGGGCTGGTCCACTGCTCAAGATTTAAGCAGAAACTTGCCCTTCTCCTCCATAGACAGTGACGAGGCCATGACAGGCAATTCAGGCTCATACCAGAAAGAAGCCAGTATAGGAGCTGCTCATTCCTGCCCAAGACAATATGGGACTGGAACAAGCTTTCAAAAGGAACGGTTGAGGCGACAACACTAGACACTTTTGTGTCTATTGCCTCAAGCCTTCAAACCCCTAGTGCATGATTCCCTCACAAAGGGGCACTAGAAATCAGTGAAATTTCCTCATCAACACCAGGAACAGAAACATTGCAAATCCCATCTACATGCAAAGGAGCCAAAATGATCAATAAATTGATCGTTGCCCCTTAAGATTTAGAAGAACAAAAATTCCGGCTCATACCAGCGAGAAGCCAGTAAAGAAACTGCTCATTCCTGCCAAAGGCAATCAGGGACTGGATAAAACTTTCAAAAGGAACAGTTGAGGCGACAACACTTGACACATTAGTGTCCATTGCCTCAGGCCTTTCAACCTCCAGTGCATGATACCCTCACAAAGTAGCCCTTGCAACCAGTGAAATATCATCAACACCAAACACAGAAACATTGCAAATCCCCTCTACATGCATAGGAGCCAAAATGATAAATAAATTGATCGTGGGCCCTTAATATATAGGAAAAGAAGAAGAAATGATTGTCATTTTTTTTAAAATCTGCTAAGAGATATTTTGTTTAATTTTCATATTTAGAGTGAGTGACAAGCGGCGCAACATTGCTGCTCAGAAAGCACAGGCACAGAAACGCTTGTTCCGTACGAGCCGCAAGGTTGACATGCAAGATTTCACCGAATTAGATAAAAAGAAAATAAATAATGAGAAAAGGAAAGAAGAACTGGTGAGTAGGAATAATTTTTACTATATATTTTCTTTTTTTTTTTTAATGGTACTCTATTTTTAGAGTTTATATTAGAAATATTGTTTATTTTAAAATGGTTTTAAAATCTTTTTTATTAATTCTTTACATGCTACAAAATCAGAGCATGAAAGATTTGCGCCATTAATAAGTGAAAAATCTGGGCAATAACATTTATAACATAACAGTCATTTGTATGTTCTATGTTCAAGCAAGCAGTTTTTTAAAGTCAAAACTCATAATTAATACAGGAAATATAAATGACCATTCTAAACTAATAACCAAAAAGTAATGCAATAAAATAACAAGGTATAAATTGGGGGCATTTTATAAACGGATAGTGAAATATTATTGTTTAAAATAATAAATTTCTCATGTTTACTATCAGTATTATCTTTACATGATATCTCAGACTGAACTTCTCACACGTTTGAGAAAAATTGCCGCTAAGGAGGATTTTGAAAGGCGTCATTCTGGACAGTTCCGGAAAATATTTCCTAGCGATGATCCAGTGAAACAAGAACGGTACTGTAACATCATGACTCAGACCTTCTCATTGTTTCTGACAGGTCGGGGTGCAAGTATGCAGAAAGAAATTCAAGTAAACTACAATAACAAATTCAAAGTATGTTTCAGTCTCTGCTTTATGCTAACCCTAAATTAATATTATAAACTTATTAATGTTATATGACTCTTTGTATAGGAACATTATAACCGCAAAGCTTTGTTGTTTTTATTAAAATCATGAATTATTGTTACTACCACAGACCTGTTTACCCCTATGCTTTCGCCATAGTAACTACGTTTTTAAGCCTAAGACTACAGCACTTCGATTATCCTTAAAAAACTATGGTTTTAGGAGTTTTTTTCATTTGCTTGGTTTATTTTTAATTTAAAAAAACAATTATGGGGATTTTTTAGTAAAAAGTTACCAAATTGTCTGTGTTAACACCATAAGCAATGAAATAAGAAGAACGTTTTCAATAAACCAACCAGAATATTTTTCTTATACAGGAGATGTTTTCTACTTGTGGTAGCTAAACACATGTTCTAGAATCCCACAGAGACTAAACACATTGCTAAACTTTTTCAGGACTTTGAAAATCAAGGCATAAAATCATAAATTGATTTTAAAAAATTGCAATTGCTAGGAAATTAAATAAATATACTTTTTAATACACCTTAATTGGATAATTTTGTTCTTATGTTTTGTATTTCAATATTGTTTTTATTTTCATATTACCAACAAACAAACCAAAAAAAAAAAGAAACTGTTCAATAGTCATGAATTTTAGTCTGTGCAGTCAGTGCCTTTTGTGCTTGCCTAAGACCTCTTCTCATCCTTAAGAAACAAATCGGAGGACACATATCCTGTATATTTATTTGTGTTAGCTTACATAAGCAGTTGAGTGGATTTTCTGACACTACTTTCATTTTGATTGCAACCCCCCCCCCTCCCCATTGACCAGACTACTCTTTGGAGCTTGAAACTATGTTTTTCCGAGCTGAAAACTACTCTGGCACTAACCCAGGGGTGAACAGGTATCCTTAAGAAACAAATCGGAGGACACATATCCTGTATATTTATTTGTGTTAGCTTACATAAGCAGTTGAGTGGATTTTCTGACACTACTTTCATTTTGATTGCAACCCCCCCCCCCCTCCCCATTGACCAGACTACTCTTTGGAGCTTGAAACTATGTTTTTCCGAGCTGAAAACTACTCTGGCACTAACCCAGGGGTGAACAGGTCTGCTACCAACAACTCACTCAGTAACTAAAGTTGAATTTTATTAGATAATTAATTAAAAAGTCATTTTAGTTTTCTACACATATCTACAAATTCCTGGTTCAAAAATGTCCTGAAAAGAAGCTTTTTACATGTCTTCTATTGCCGATTAAAAAAATATTAAACCATTGAAATAATATGGAGATAATTTAGTAATGATGTCCAAAATATAAATAATTTAAAATCAAACCATCAATATTTTGAATCAATGAACTATTGTATTTTTAGGAAGAAGATATCTTAGACATGTTGGCAGAGTGTGAAGCTGATGAGAAAGAATTAAGGTTATATCCTTTAGGAAAACCACCACGAGGACCAAAGGTCATGCATATACTTTTAAAGTATTCATTGGTCTTAATTGATCAAATGGAGACATAACTTTAAACACAAATTTCAGTAAGATTTTTTAGTAAAATGAAGAAATTTTAAATTACCAGTACCAATTTTAATTTCATTTTGTGTAAAACATTTATCAAACAAATAAAAACTCTGTTTGAAGAGTATTTAAAAAACATTTTTTTAAATGTTCAGCCTCTGCAGAGCATGCCAGAATCAGCAATCCACCACCCTGAAAATGAAGAACTTGATGATAGTGATGCAAGTCTAACCACTACTCCCCGCAACAGACCTAGGTCAAGTTCACAAATACAACTACAGGGCCAAAAAACCAGGGGCAGTAATGGAATTAATACTTGCCCTACATCAGGCATGATCCCCAACATTACTGGCAATTGTGTTGTTCAGAGACCATTAAGTCATTCTGCTTTGGCTAGTGGTGGAAGCCAGCATAGGTCTAGGAGTCTTACTCGGGCTAGCAGTACTAACAAGCTGGCTGCTCTACAGCGATCAAATGTGGTAATTATGTAGTTTGTAGACGAGAAATAAGCTTTTTAGTTCAATTTAATCAAAATAACAATAAATTGTTGTCCATTCATCTTTCGAAAGTTTTTGCTTCCATAGCCTGATTGTAGTTTCACTTATGAAATGAATTTGGTTTCTGTTAATTTGCCCTGTGATTCATTGAAAAAGATATTGATATTACAAGTTTTTCTTATTTCTAAAACATGTGTCATTGATTCTACACTAGGATGACAACTTCCTGAATTCTATAGCAAAGGAGAGAGAGAATGAGATGATAATGAAGACCTTAATTTCTCTTAATGAGATGAGGATAAAATTTCCTGGAAAGTCAGATGTGGAAGCAGAATTGATGCTTGACCAGGTCAATAAATCATTTTTAGTAACAGTAACACAATTATCTCAACAGGTTAAACAAAGGAATTATAAAGGAATTTGTTGAAAGTTAAAAACTATTTTTTTTTACAATGTCTTGAAAAAATTAAATCAGTGCCTCTTAAAGTTTTATGATGGTTACATTTTTCAGCTGACTGAAAACTGGAAATTCCATAAGCCCAGGATAGCCTCTTATTGGCTAGTGAAATTAGATTCAATTAAGAGAAGAAAGGTAAAACATTGTTTCTGAAAACAAAATGATTAAATATAATATAATATAATAATTTTTTTTTTTTAAATGTGTTATGCCTATTTTTTCATTTGTCTTTATTTGTTCAGCTATATTTTTTTAATTCCGAAAATTTCCTAGTGATGCAAGTTATAGGAAATTGAATGTAATATTTATATTTAATATTAAAGCAAATTTTATTTTTAGTGATGTGATATTTTTTAAAAATATTCTTTAAAGGATAAGGAGATGAGTTTACCTTACTCATTAAGTATATTAAATTTTTAGGTTATAGATATTGTAAAATCTAATGTCCGTGCTGTTCTACAACGTGTGTGGCGAACAACGGATATCGATAATCTTCGTCTCTATCGGATATTCAGTCGTGTGTTCAACCGCTTGCTTTGGAGTCATGGTCAAGGATTATGGAACTGTTTCTCATCAAGCCAGTGAGAACAATAACATTTTCTTCATAACATAACATTTATAGTTTTAATGGGGATACCCAGAATCTAGATATTTGCTTTGTTATTTTATTCTTTTTAATTTTCTGTAACATCCAATATATAGAATGTTAATTAATTTTCAATATACATACATTTCTAAAAAATATCTAAATGTTTTAGACAGACTTGGGAGTCCATATTCAGCAAAAGTACAGAGAATATTGCAGCAGAAGAGTTGAATTGCTGTCGTCGCATAGTTCAGCTCTGCAAAGACTGTTTACTTATTGTCTACAAGTTTGCAGATGAGGCAAAGAATCAGAATTTAAATCCCAACATAGAATCCCAGGACTTGGCTGTACAACAGAAGGAAAATAAGCAGACAAATGCCTCTGTAGGGTGAGAATTAGGGAATATATTTGTACATCATAACTTGCATTGTTTAACTCTGAGGTTGTCAAAATTGGGGGATAGCGTATGGGGTGCTGAAAGGTTTTGGGAACTTTTTTTTAAAGGGATGGCGCCAGGACTCCAAAGCGGGAACTGTGCAATTATATCAAATATAGTTTTTAAATTAAAATTACCATATTTTCCGGCATATAAGATGATTGGGTGTATAAGATGACCCCCCTACTTTACCTGTTGAAATATAGGGTTTGGGCTATACTTGCCGAATACGACTACCCCTCTTCCAACGCACACTTAATAAAAATTAAAAAACATCAGATTTGATTTCAATGTGGTAATTTTAATTCAGTTGCTTATGTCATGCAGGTATTTAGCAGGAAAACTGTCACTTATAACATAAGGCTGTTTGGGGTCATCAAACATGTAAACACAAAACAGTGCAAGTAGATTAAACTTTTCCTAGTTCACTCTAAAGCTGAAAGGAAGGATAAGACAATAAAACCTTGGGAGCTGCCATGCTGTTTGTCTTCTAAGCTGTCAACCAAACTGGAACTGATGATGATAGGAGGAAGATAACAAACAATAGAGAGAGAGCAAGTCCCTGTCTAGTCAGCAACGCCCATCATAACTCCAAGCTATTTGTACAGGTTTTCCTTTAAAAGTCTTCAAAATCCTCCTGTTCATCATCTGATATCATAAGTACATCAGTGACATCTTGTGATACCTTTGTAAGGCATTCGTCCTTCCAGCCTTTTTTATTCACATGTACAAAACAACCAACAGGGAACTTGCGTTTCGGCATTGTTTTTATTTTAAAAATAATCATTGGTCTCAGTTTGGCACCATCAGCTGTGCATGCTAGTACCACTGTAAAACTTGACTTCTCATGTCCTGTTGTTTTAATTAAATTAGTTTTTTCACCTCTTGGATGGAAAGTTTTATTTCCAAGCACATCAAAATTCATTGGAGTTTCATCCATATTTCTGATACTATTTAATGCATAGCTATGTTTATTGCGCTGTTGTATTACGTATCGTTGGAAACTATTTATTTTACCATCAAGATCTGCAGGTAGTTGTGCAATTTTCGTGTTTTGCCTCAGTACCAGATTATACCTTTCCGAGAATCTAGTAGCCTATACCAGGATACATTGGTCTTAAATCTGTTGCTGTGATCTGGGTTAGATTTGGCCCACTGAAGGGCAAACAAACATATTTTATTTCATGTCATTACATAACCATTTTGGCAATGCTCATTCACTATGTCTGCTACATGTTTTTCAAGTTCTGGCCAATGTGGAGTGCCTCTTCTTGATGCACACTTACCCCTTGGCATACTCTTTAATGCTTTTTCATTTGCTTTCCAATCCCGAACCATCTTTTCTGTTACTCCTTATTGCACAGTTTACCGAAAATTTGTTTGATCGAAATTTTGACGGAAAATTGATCAACAAGAATTTGATAGAACGGAAATTTGGTCGGACCTTTTTTTCAGTTCACACATTAAAATTTTTGTCAAATTTCTTTTTGAACGCACTATACTATATAGTAAAACAAAATAATGCATTCAAAAGACGACCCCTCACTTTTGAAAAGATTTCATGGGTTAAAAAGTCATCTTATCCGCTGGAAACTACGGTATCTATTTTAAAGATAGATGACAAACTTTATGAAAGCTGTAAGTTAAATAATTTTTTCACTCATAACCAGTGATACAGAAGTCATTTGATGTAACTTTCAAACAGAAATACCAGGAACTATTAACAATACATATATGCCATTGTATGTTTAGCTAGTTAATGTGAGCTGAATTGCAATGCCTCTCATCAAAAGAATGAGTTATTGCATGGATCATACAATTGCATTATTGATTGGTATCACATACAGCAGTTGAATGACCAACAATTATTGAATTTTTGAGTTCATAGAATCACAGAGTTAAATTAGGACTGGATGAATTGATTTTTATTCAATGAATCTTTTTTCTCACTCATGTACATTTTCTAACAGCTGAAATTTGGACTTGAAGATGTTATAAGTTATAAACCACACATCCAGAAACAGATATAGGCAACATTGTCAATATTTCGTGTTCTTTAGTAGATCTTCAAGGAATTTCCACAAAAGAGCACTTTATTTCAAATGATGGAGTGTAAATTATGGAGAACCAAGAATGAGTAATTGCAACCGTGTGTTGATTCTTATTAGGGGGGAAAAAATGGGCTCATGTCTTAAATATTCATTGTGAAATTTATCGTCAACAGCAGGAGGCTAAAAAACTCTGATATCACCTGTAGTAAATAATGGCAACAAATTAAGTTAAAGACCATGGATACATACAATGATACTAACGTTTTTGACATCAACTTTAACAAAGTATTTGGCGAGATTGTCAAGATTTGTAAAGACACAATTGCTTCTCTTGATGTACATCTCAAAACGGCATTGATTATTTATCAAAAATATTTGCTAAATATATTTAAAAAAAAGAATTTAAATTTGTTGTTAGAGAATGAGATCAATTTTATTAAATTAAAACCAAATCTCTCTTCCTTACTTTGCTAAGAAAATTTACAATACAGTAAAAAAATACAATATTGGTCATCTCAAGTTATATTTCCAAGCCAGTGTTAGTAAGAAGAGAAATGTGGGATGCAATACAACTATTTACGGTACCTAAAATGTGCGAAGTTTTAAGTTTTGGATTTGCTAATTAAGATAATCTGTTGATTTCAAGCACATATTGTGTGATAAATATGTTAAATATTGTGGCAATAGGTGGACTGAAGGAGGGGCTGATCCAAAAATATTATTGAGCAGAAGCCAAATGAGTAAGAGCACAAAGTATTTTGACTTAAAAGGGATAATTTTTATAGCTTATTCCGCATCTTAAAATTTGGCTAAAAAGCTCATTCTTTCATTCGGAATATTAAGTTTGGTGGATGGTGTTTAAAGTGCTGTCATCAAACTTTGCACCGTTCATATATCTAAAACTGTTGTTAAATAACTATACTACATTAAAAACTTGATGTATCGCTTGTTGAAATTAATCAGCTTCTTTCAGAATTAATAAAAGTAAAATATTGCATTTGTAGGTACTTGAATAAATTAAATACTCTGCTAAATGTAATACTTTTGACATTTAATTGCGTTATTTTTGAGGGCTATACAAATTATTATGTCATTTTTTTAATAGGGGGTGCTGAAGGTGAGTTAAGTGCAAACAAACAAATAATGAACTAACTTTTTTAACAACTTCATCTGGTCAATCATAATGTATTTTTATCTGAGCAAGCTAACAAACTGGTCAATTATATTGGATTTTTATCTCAGGAAGCTAACAATTTGTTAAAATTAGTTCAATTACAAAAATAAATACAAATTCTTAGAATATTCATTTTGATTTTTTTATTTGATTTTTCATCAATTAACTCTGCTTGATTTTTGTCTTTTTAGGTACACAGCAGTTCATGATCTAAAAGCAAATATGAGTTGGAGTCCTTATACTCCTTATAGCCAGAGATACAACAAGCTATATCAGCACTCAAACTTCAGTACCTCATAATCCTACCATGTTTAGGTTTAGCAGCAAAGTTAAATATTATTGTTGCATATCATTGATAAATTTGACAATTTTCATAAAAATTAAATGACACTTTTTTCTGAAATATCATTTATCCAAATCACCACAATAGTATGGTGCAGGATATCTGAATCATTGCAATGTTATTTAAATCATTTTTTTAAATTGTCGTACTAACTTTATAGTAAAAAACTTTGTTCCATATTTTGATTGGATTTATCTTAAAAAGTTATGGCTATTTTATATACTCTATAAATACCCGAATGAATTAACTACCGGTACAAAGTATTTTTATAGTAGAAAAATTAAAGCATCCAGAGAGGCACTGATAAACTTCTTTTTGAACAGATGTTTATGTTAATTAAATTAAGTATAATATTTAAAAATTATTATTAAAAAAATATAAAGATTAAAGAGTTCATTAGGATATTATAATGTCACATTTACAAATCACAGCAATGCCATAAGAAATGTAATATTTTTTTTGTCACAATCCAATTTAATATTATGATGCACCAAATAAAAAATGTGTCAGTGTCTCATTAATATATCATATATCTAGATGGTGCATCAGTTTAGTATTTTAGGATAAAGAGTGAATAACTGAACCCCATTAGCTTTATATAGTACCGGTATATAATTAAATTATTAAATTTAATTTTGTAATTTGTAAATCGCTTTTTCATTTGCAGTTTTGCAGAAATAAGGAGCCTATGATTTATGATAATGATTAAGCTCAACATTTTAAAAGGATGTGCACTAGCTATTAATATGGTTGTATCATAATTTATTATTAAATAGCCAGTGGAAAGATATATTAACATATTATTCTTTAAACTTTATAAAGAAACAAGTTCATTTAAACATAACTATATAATTTTATATTTGAGTTCCCATTTAGCTACTAATCATAATTAGTACATTCATGTTTTGACATCTTGTATTACATTTTTATGTTAGCTGCCATGAGATATTTTAAACAAACTAAACATCACTTTTGAATCAAATATGGCATTTAAAAAATTTAAATACATTCAATCTATATGTGACTTTGATGTCTGTAGTAATATGGTTATAATAAAATTTCCAGATAATATTTAGTTTAAGTTAAATTTAAGGGTAAATGCCCTTCTTCATTTTCTTAAAAATGATTAAAAAAATGTATTAAAAAATTAGGAACTCCACTTTCTATTTCTTTTAAAATTATTTTATATAATCTGTAAATCTATTAGTGCAGTGCTGTCCAGCCCACAGGCCCCTCACAAAGTTATTTTAAATGGCCTGCCACAGCTTCAGAAATTCTTATGTGTATAATACCCCTGTAAGCAAAACATTTGCTGGTGAAAATATTTTCAAACCACAATCATTGATTTAATATTAATAATATTGTTGAGAGCACAGGAGAAATTGTAACATGGAAAAGGGGAGGTCACTAAACCCAAGGTGTCAAATAGCTTGACAGGTAGGTAGCCGTAATTTATGTTAAACACATCACCAGACAACCATTTGGGAACCTGGTTGTCATAATATTGGATACTATCTTCTCCTTCTTTCTGTTGCTTGTATAGGGAGGGCGACGCAGGATATCAGATATAATAATAACTAACTGCAAAAGATGAAAGGGATACCAAAAGTAACAAGATGTTTAGCTATTTGATCGTAGTTAAAATTTACAAGCCCCCACCAAGTTAGATGAAATAGATAGGTGAGCATAACGAGTTAACCACTGCCAAAGAGCCTTCTGTTCAGAGTAATTGAGATGGGAGCTGGGGTACTGGTTCTAAATGTGTTACAATTGAATGACAGTGGTAGGCAGTGGGAACCATTTTTGGCACCATGTTATTCTAACAGATAGTCTAGCAAGGTATGGGAGAGTGTGTCTCCATCCTGTATTGTTCTGAGGTTGGGGACAAGTACCCGATATTAAGAGATCAGAGTATGAGTAGAAAGCAGGGTTCTTGCTGTGATTGTTTGTAGTCAATACAATTAGTCAGGGAAGAATACTGAGACAGTAAGAACGATTCTTGAAAGTATTTCTTTTTTTGTAAACAAACATAAGAATCATGGCCAAATAAATGGCCAACTATGAAAGTGTTGTAACAAAATTTTGACCATGTTTTTGGAAGCAACCTACATCAGTGGTAATGAACAGCATACCGTACGAAAAACATAACTCTTTAACTGGTGAACATTTAAAATCCAGTAAGGGCATATCCAACTGATAACTACCTGAAATTAAGAAAATTTTTAGGTACAATTCAAAGCAAAATATATCACCAGAACGGGCTACAGTTTTTATTCACTTTATTAATATTCTTGATAAGCGGATACTGCAATTAGATATATTACTCTTCATGCATGAGGTAATTTGGGGGCCCACAATCAATGTATTGATCATTCTGGCTCCTATGTTGTGCATGGTTTTGAAGGGGATACTTCACTGATTGCAAGGGCTTCTCAGCGATGGTATTATAAACTGGGGGGTTGGAAGACAGGAGGTAATAGTAATAGATGCAAATGTGTCAAGTGTAGTCCCTCAACTGTTGCTTTTGGAAGCTTGCTCCAGTCCCTTACTGTCTTTGTCAGGAATGAGAAGTTCCTGTACCGAGTTCTTGTTTTTAAGAGCCCACACTGCCTGTCATGGCCTCGTCTCTGTCTAGGGGGGAGAGGATGAGTTTCTGTGTAATGCTGGAGCAGTGAACTTGCCCATTTTTTATCTTGAACATCATGGAGATCCTGGATAGTCGTCGTTCCTCCAATGGTGACCAGCCCAGTGTTTCCAGCATGCTGCCAACACTAGAGGTGTTTCTTTAGGTTTCAGGACATAGTGCGCTGCTCATTGCTGGACCACCTCCAACCTGCTGATGCTCTTCTGGGTGAATGGGTCCCTGACTGAAGATACTTACTCTAAAAGCAGCCGGACAAAGGCTTTATAGGCTTTTTTCTTTCACGTTGGAGTTGCCAAACTTCAGATTTAGCCTTAGCAACCCTAGGGTCTTATTAGCTCTGTTGCACACATGTTAATGTGCTCGTCCCAACGGACCTCTTAATAACACAATTTTCTTATATGTCCATTTGCGGTCCTTGGGTTCTTGGAAAAGTTTTTTTTGCCTACATAGTCAAAAAGGTTGGACAGCACTGTATTAGTGCATGATGAAAGAAAATTATGTTAGGGGTACAAATTAACATATTTTATTACTTGTATGATTAAGTTTAAGAGTAAAAAAAAAAGCTCACTTCATTCATTCAATTATTTGTACATGTGTACATTAAAAAAAAATTTGGTTTAAATTTTGCACTACCATATTTATTCTCTTTAGTGTACACTTCATTCTTCAAGTTATTCAGCAAAGTTTCAAGTAAAAGATTTGTTTAAAAAAAAAATTAAAATACATGTATGTATATTTTGTAATAGATTATCTATTAGATATCAAGATATTCTCATGAATTTTTCAAATCATGGGCAAATATTTTCTAATTAAAATATTGAAAAAACATTTAAAGTTTAAAGTTTAAGAACTGGAAAATACTAATAAAAATGTAATTAGCAAAGTTTTTAAAAATAAATATTTTATTTCATTATAATTTACTTCCTGTTCCTCATTTGAAAATGCCACTCCTCAGCCACCTGATTTAATTTATACAAAGTTTTTGACTGCAATTAAGCTTTAAAATAGATAAGACAGGAACAAATTGTGTCAATATAAAATATAACAATATAAGTTATGCTTTAATAATAATTATACATTATACACAAGTAAACGTTTCGGCAAATGCTTTCATCAGTGCAAACAAAAAAACACTTTTAAATAAGTATAAATTAAATTTACATAATATAAATATCCTACCTAAAAAAGAAAATATTAGGATAGGGCGCTAAAACCAGACAAAAACAAAGTAAAGAAGAGTAGAGAGAAAGTGATTTGAACATAATTGTAAAAATAATATGTTCTTTTTCAATTCTTAGAATAAGTCTTTTTCCTGTTTGGTTTTTACAATTATGTTTTTTTCTTTTTTGGGTAGGATATGTATATTTATATTATGCAAATTTAATTTTTGCTTATTTAAATGTGTTTTTTTGTAATTACTGATGAAGGCATGTCCGGAAACGTTTACTTGTGTATAATTATTATTAAAGCGTTACTTATAGTGTTATAGTGACACAATTTGTTCGTGTCTTATTAATCTGATTTAATTTAGATGCACAAGATGTATACACTAATCAGGTAATCATATGTAAAATATTAATTTTCCCATTCTATAAGTATAAGTATAAGACAAAAGATATTCTCAAAATCAAATCCTTATTGCGATTTAATGCCTCTTTATTTAAGTTAAAGGTTGTTTCATTAATTACCTTCATTAAAAGATCAGATGACATTGTAAGCCATTTTTTTTTTTACTTGTCTTGAATTAAATTTTCCAAGGAAATACATTAATATTAATATACTATCCAGTTATTGTACCAAAACTATGTTATCCTATTTGTGGTGCATAAATATTAATGTCTTTTCTAGTACCGTTAGCTAAATCTGCACTAGTTAAACACTGTAAACATTGTACCAGTTGAAACAAAAGTGACTTCACCTAATGTTTAAAATCAAGGACTCTAAGTATATTACATAAATGTATAGCTATTTTGTTTTCTTAGTTTTTTGTTAGTTTAACCCAATGAAAAATATTACTTTCTTTGAGAAATTTTCATACTTTATGATAGCTGGTCCAAATGTTTTTACAAGGTTTTAAAAAGGTCTGTTGTCTGTCTGGGTCGAATCTTGAAATATATTTTTGACCCATTGTTAAAAAAACAATTTTATTGAAATTTTATTGAAATTTTGTGCAGTGATATGTCACTTGTGAGACAGAATTTAACTTCATTAGTACGTTACCGGTACCTTAAAAGACACTAGTACCCTGGTTACGTCTCTATTACCATTTTGAACCACTCCATTGAGATCTCAATAGAATAAAAATGAATCTAGTTTTTTAAAATCAAATTAAATAACACTAACAGTCTTAAAATAAAAATGCAATATTTAAAGTTTTAGCTTTCACCCTCTTGGTCTTTGGTGTAACCCATATTGTTACTCTTTCTCCAAATGATATGAATATTGTTTATATGAGATAGTCAAAAACAATCTATTGAATTAGTATTAATTTTTTGGTGTCAAGGGTAGCCATTCTTAGCAATGAGAGAAAATTTTCTTTCAATAATGGTACTATTGTCCAAGACAATATTTTACAATTTAAAACCAAGACATCTAAAGTATTTCTCTAGCATAGAAATCATCCGTCAACAAACTCCTTTAATGGCTTGAATATCAAGTTTTCTTCTGCATGCTGAACAGAACAAAAACTGGGAAGGCTAGTTTTTCTAGAAATAATTGCTAAGTTGAAATACAAGAAAAAGAAATCAAAACAAGCTGGAAAAGGTGTTATATGATAGCATTTTTTAAATCTATTTTTCTAAGAACAGATTCTTCAGTATGCCCACTACACTGACTAGCGGTACTTGTCACTGATAATAAGCAATTAACAATACATTTAATATATTCATTCGTCTTTTATTTAAAATGCGCACAAAAAAAATGTTTCTTTTCCAATGAAATCTAAATGTACGGTATTTTATAAAATGCATGTATTGTTTCAATTTCAATAATTTCTTAAGCTTGATACTTTTGCATAAACAACTGCAAAGCTAATCTGAAGTTTTCAAATTATCAAACAACACAACCAAAAACACATTCTGATTAAGAGACATTCAATGTTTCAAGGATTCTACTTAGTTTTAACCCATTCAGAGCTTCACGTATAAGTCCTATAGAATCTCGTTCTGGGTCCTCCTCCTAGAAAATAAATGTAAATTGTAATAAATATTATAAAAATATAAATGTGTGAAAGAAAATAAAATGAACATTTAATTAAACTGACAAACAACAGATACTCTCTTTGTTAAAAAGAGAAACAGTTACCGTCTTCTTTTTGCAAGCACTCTATGTATTTGCAATTAAGAATCCCATTGCCTAGTTTTTGGAACTATTAGTTGTCTTAACTCGATAACTGTCATAATGGCTGATCATCTGTGGTGTCACAGCCGATATAATCGACAGCTAGCAAAAACGTCATTAAAAATGCTAATGTTTAAATGAATATAAATGAGTTTGCTTCCCATTTCAGTTTCTACATGTGTGCAGACCTGTTTACTCTTACTATTTTAGCGTATAATTATAATGTACGATTTTGAGATGTATACATTATATATACTGTAAGTTTATTTTTTACTATTAAGATAATGTATTGAACGATTTTGTGATGATATTGTACGATTTTAAGAGTTTGAGGGTAAACAGGTCTGTGTGTGTTAACATGTTTTTATCAGGGCTCGTTTTGTGATTTATCGGGTAATTTTTTTGACTGCCCATTATGTCTAATGCTGAAGAGGGCTCCCTTCTAGGTTGCAAAATCAGAACAGACTTTATAACAAGCAATAATTTGAAGAGATTTATATTTTTAATCTTCAACGAAGTAATTTAATTACCTGCCAAACAGTTATCATGTTTAAGGCTGACTCTGCAGTCCCATCAAAAGAGTCTTTAAAATATGTGAGATCATCAGGGGGAAGACCAAGCTTCTCTCCTAGACTGATCCATTGGGTCCCAATCTGGTCAGCCAACAAACAGATTTGATCATTGGTCAGTTGCAACTGGGGGTTTACTTCATCTTGTAAAGAGAATTGTTTAAAACAGAAATATGTCAAGAAAACAAATTGGGGGCAAGTACAAATAATACAATAAATAATTCCTAAGGTAAATATAACAATTACTATAAAATATAAAACAAATGAACTTAAAAACCTTGTTCATTTCTCATATCATCCTCTTCATGCTCTTCATTATTATCTTTAATGTCATCTTCTTCATCAGCAACACCCATTTCAGGTTTAGGTTCAACCATCTGATGATGCTAAAATAAAATTTATTAAATATGTTAAAATGTTAATGGATATTAAAATTATTCGAATAAGAAGCAATTTGAAATAACTTTTTTTAATGTCTTTCTACACTAATTGATAAATGATAAAAATTGAAAAAGTAATAACAGCTTAAAAACTTACAGGATTGATTTCTTTTGCCATCTTATCAACAATATCCTTTAGATGTACATTTATTGGTAGACCTGGGGTGTTGGTATGAACAAAAAAATGAGGGGAAGACCTGGCAAGGAGACGATAAGCCTTCCACTGAAAGTTCTGCTGATTTATGTCTCTGTTTAATGAAAATGCAGCAATAAAAACTTAAATTATAGCATAGCACCAATTTTTATGCCCAGAATGAATTTAACAATGTACTTTTGTATCAGAATATATATTTACAGTAGAGAGTATATTTTTTAAACTAATTGGGACCAGTGTTGTTTTGGATAACCAGACATTGCTATAATGAAATGTTGTCTAGGGGTAGGTCCCTCTTCCAGCGGCCACAGACACACTATCGAATCAGAGCCTAAACTCCGTTTTCTTTCTCTCTGATAAAAATTTCACGATATGGTTTGAAATAAAAGATAAACTTTAATTATTCATGTGATGTGCCAAGACACAAAGCACAACAAACCAACCATCAACAATAGTGTTCACAAGTTAAACAATGGAATTTCCAGGATCCAGTGCAACAAATCAGTCACTCGTTTCTTAAAACAAATACAGCCTGACTTCCATAACAATTCTCTGCCTTCATATTAATATTCACACCCACCTGAAATGCCTCATAACCCTTTCATGACTGAGTCAAAGTGGTGCGAAAATATGGGGAGTTCCAAAGGAAAAACATCATTGCTCAATGTTAAAATTATTAAACCATACACATAACATAAACATGGCTCTGACCATGACAATTGCCATGGCACTAAAGAAATAATTGCAAAGAAACCAAACTATTCTTACCTTATGGTTATAGTTGTACACTTTTGGTGCTTAATTGCAATTTCTAAATTTATTTATTTATTTTTTTTGATTCAGACCCACTTAAATATGTTATTTAGTTCCTTTTGCCCCCTACCTTGTTAATATTAAAATACAAAGATAATGGGAGTACTATATTCAGGTTAAAGCAATATGAAATATAACATTAATATACAGAGAAAACCTGAAAGATCACAAACTTAACAATTAACATTGCAACTAAAAAAGGTGAAATAATCAGATAACCAAAAGTTTTGTTGACATGATTGTGTGACAGGAGTAGAATTTTTTTTTTTTTTTTATGACATGTTTTTTTCTTTCTTTTTGCTAATTTTTATGTGAAGTGCCATGAGCCTAGCCCTAGGCTGGGATACTGCACTATATAAGACCCTTATAATAATAATAATTTAATGTGCTGTGTTTTTATACAATTTTCCATGTGATGCTCATCCCAAACTATAATAATAAGAGTTGTAATCCGATAATCAGTGTTTGGAAAATCTACACCCTACTGTAAATATATTTAAGTGTTGAGTTCCATTCAGCATTAATTTTTTAATAATTTTCTAACTTGTCTGTTCATCAAAGCATTACTATGGTTAAATTATGATATCTCTGATAATATCCATTACAATGTGAAGGCTTACTTGTATTGCTCCTCCACCATAGCCTCAGGGTCTGCTTGTTCTATAGCATTGGCAAAGAAGTCATCCAGTTTAGGTAAAAATACTCTAGATTCAGCCTTAGCTGCCTCCATATTGTCAGAGTTTAAGTTCCAAAGTCTTGTCAATTCTGAATTACCTAGTTTTAATGATTTACCATTGGATGCTAACAAATCATCACCAATTCTTTTTCTCTTTGGTCTGCCAACAGGGGGAAACAAATACTTGATTACTTGATGGAAAACAGTCATATTTTGTTAATACAGATCTTAAGACTAAAACATGTAAAGAAGAGTAATTAATTAGCACAATGACATGATACAACTTTTAATATTAAGTTACTTTACTTTGTTTTTGCTTTGCTCTGGTCTCTTTGCTTTTCCTTAATAAAGTTAGGACAACTCTCATTCTTCCAGTTATTCCAATGCTCTTCTCTTTCTAAAATGTGCTGAAAATCAACCATAATCAAAACTAAAGCTAAATTTGATGAACATTAACAATGCTTATAAATATATGAATATGACTTTTGCAAATAATTTTTTTTTCATGTACTTGTTTATGGAGAGCAAAATCCTAATTCAGTTTTTTAGTTTTCAAAAAAAAAAGGTGGCAAATTATCTTGTAAATCTAAAATTTATGCTCTTCAATGACCATTATGAACCTAAGCATGAACAAAAATATTTATGAAATTCAACTAATTCTTAGACTCTCAGCAGGACCAAATTTTTCAACACAAATTCCCAAGCCGCTATCAGCCATAAAAACTGTTGAAGCAAGTGAATATGAGAGCAAGGATATCATCATCATCGAGTCCTAGAAATTTTTTATTAAAAAAATATGACACTATAATTAAACATAAATACAGTTAGTCTACTTCAAATTTTTAAATTTATTTCATTTGATAACACCAACCACAATTATTTCACATACCTTGACAGAATTACAAAATTGTTCACCGTGTGGTGGAGTCTCACATAAAAGTTTGCTCACTTTCTCTTGTGACTCCTTAATCCATTCAGATTGCTCATCAGTTAGAGATTGTACTTGACTGAAAATTTGTTGAAATGATTAAACTGTATTCTATAGCAATGATAGCAGCCAAGAAAATTAATTTTATTTAAATTTTTTTTAAATTTCTTGCCAACATGTCGAGCTATAATTAAAATCTACAGTTTACTTACGTCTTAAATTTGACAGTCGCTCTTAAGTACTGGAAGATTATAAGGAATTGAACAAGAACATAACGACGAAAGTTGCTATCACTGAGTTGAAGATTCAGCAACTAAAATACAAATTAGAAAAAGAGTTTTTTTTGTTTTTTTTCAAAGTGAAATAAGTTATATGAATTTGCAATATCGGCCCTGAAGAGTAAATCCCAAATTTTAAATGAATGGTGAAGCTTCAATAAAGACACAAAAAATGTCCCAGCTAAAAATAAAAATTATACCAGTATAAGGCTAGAAATGAATTGAGCTACATCACTTTCTCTTCTTATTTTTCACTATCTAAAAAAATCATGTTTATTGCTGATCCAGACTTGAAGCTGATATATTATATTATATTATATGTTATTATACCTTCGTTTAGCTAAGCCATAAATTAATGCATGGTTTAACTACAGTTCTAAAAAAAAATTATCTTATTTTTATATATAAAAATATTTGTATCAAATTCATACATTTTAATCTATATAATAAATAATACTTCTATACTTTAACAGAAAATAGATTGATCCTAAGAGCTGTGAAGTTATAAATAAAGCTTTTTATTAGCGGTACTGCAACATTACTCTATTAGGTTGAGTAATACCATTTATATTTAAGAATCTTTAAAACTTCTGTAAATATTTTTTTTTAAAGAAGTCAATTAATTTCAGAAAACCCAATTTGTTTTAACTTACTTTTTCACTAGTAAGGTATTTGGCAAAAAAGTTTTGTACATGTTGGTGTGACTGCTGTGTAGTTGGAACCTTTTTGCGTGTTGAAGACACATCATCTAGTTTATAACTAGCAAAGATTGACATAACATCACTGGCATTCTAAAAATAGAAGTGGGTTGAGTTTATTGATAATTTATAGAAAATTTAAAGAATTTAAAAATAAACTATTTTTTGTCATGGATACATTAAAGTTGCTTTTCTTTGTTTACTAGCCTTTAATAATTCTCACATTAAACACCTACCTCATACCCTCCCTCCCCTCCTTTTTAAAAATAGTTTTCAATGAAATGCTTGTACTTGTACAATTTCGATTAAAATTTTACTTTTTAAAAATTGTGCTGATAATAACTACAGTAGAGCGTTAATTATCTGAACTAATTGGGATCACAGATGTTTCAGATAACCTATATTTCAGATAAATTAACACTCCCTCAGAAAGGTTAGTTAAAGAACTTAGAGCATATAGTACAGTATATTCTTGCCTTTTACACTTTTGATTGTACAGTTTATTAAGTACAGAAATCATCAAATGTACATCAGGTCAATTGATTGATGTCAAATAGTTATTGGGAACTAGACATTTTTTCTACAAAGAGGTATTTTAAAAAAAAAGTAGATGACTGATGCTAAGAATTAAAATCCAATGTCACTTTCTTTGAAGGCATGTGTTCTTGCATCAGGAAAATCTTACAAGGAACCTCAAATTTCAGTGGAAAAATTTCACTCAATTTGGCAGCACCCTCAAGTGGTCTGCAACAATAGATGATGAGATCCACAACATAATTTCCAAGTGCCCTATTCTGAAGATTATGCTAATTACAACAGGCTGGCTTTCTTCGCATCCATAAATTCTTACAAAAGGTCAACCCAGATGGGCTGCACAGGATTCAAGAATTCCAGATATCATACTGGCGTAACAACTTAGGTACGGTATGCTGCACTTTCGGGGGGGGGGGGCTCACATGGTGGCAAGAAAAAAAAAGTGCAACTGTTGTCAGACTCCACAAAACTTTTTTGCTCAGGAGAGTTATCGGACGCAAAACAGAGAAAATTCTTACAAAAGGTCAACCCAGATGGGCTGCACAGGATTCAAGAATTCCAGATATCATACTGGCGTAACAACTTAGGTACGGTATGCTGCACTTTCGGGGGGGGGGGCTCACATGGTGGCAAGAGAAATCAGTTCAAAAAATGCCAAAGAAGTGTCCTTAAATTCAATGGACATTGAGTTTAACTCATGGGATTAAACCAACTGGCAAGGCAGACTAGCTGTTGGAGCACACTCTTCAGAATAACTGTGCCACTCAAAAAATACTTGTGTCGAATATAGCCTTGGTCATCTTCCCATGTGAAGGACGAAATACATTCTTAACCATGCTTAATAATCATCTTACATTTTTTTCATTCACTCTCCACTTTTTTCTCTTTGCATATTTTTTTTCTTTTTCCTCCTTATTCCGCAATCTTCAACCAAGCTTACTTGAGAAAAAAATTCCCAAAGAGATTTATCATAGCACTGAGTTGGACGTCTAAAAAAGTCTTGCAGTGCCCAAAACTTTCTGTACAGGTGATAGTCTATAGGAATTGAACTGAGAAAAATAAGTTAACATTTTTTTAATAAAATCTGAAAAATTAATAATTTATCAAAATTAATTACACATGTAATTTGAAAATACTCATATCACAAGCCAGCATTTGATTCTTGAGTGACTGATAAACCTATCATATCTTTAAAAATACAGAACTATCCAATATTATTTATAGAATCTAATCCATTTCTCACCTAGATTGATCTCCAGCATCATCAACCTCCATTACTTCAGCCTGAAAATTTGTTAAGCAAGTAGATCTATGTTTATAATTTATTTTTTGTGTGTAGTTTTCAAATATATTTGTGTAACAATAATAAGCCTGTTTTAAAATCTTTTTCATTTATTAAAAAAAGGATCATAGTAATATTCGTTAAGTACCAAATTAACTTACGTGCTCCAACTTTTCATGTTTTGCATAAATTGTCACATTGTCTAAATTAAACTGGCTAGCCAAATTCAATGCTGAAATAGAAATAATATTATAGGAGAAATTTTTTTTTTTTAAATATTGCTATTTAGCAGCAATTTGAGAAACATTAATAATTTTTTTTTTAAACTTAAGAACATTTGTTAAAATTTAGAATTATAACACCTAATAATTTTAAATTTGTAATACCTTACCAGACTTTTCTGAAAGTGGGAACAACCTGGATAAAAAAAGCTGGATCCTTCCACAAAAAACTGTATTTTGGGACTTGGATAAACGTCTTATCAAATCTATAAATATGTATTTAAAATTAGGTAGCAAGAAGCAAACAAAAATTCTAAAACTTAATAGCTGCTAACAGCACGTATTCATTGAAGGAAAGAAATTAAAGGGAAATGGAACACTTCAAATTTTATTATTCATTAGATGCATCTAATCTTAAAATAATTGGATGAAAAAATCTCAAATTTCTTATAATCAGTATTTTTCATTTATAATTTATTCCAACTGAAATACTATCTCCTCTTTGAAAAAGCAATGTAGTTAAGCTGAAATATGTTTTTTGTTTCTTACAAAATTACTGTATTTTTTGGCGTATAACACGCACCTCATTTTAAGAAGGAAATTTCAGGAAAAAAAAACGAAACATTATATATAACACGCACACATGATTTGCCCCCTATTTTCGGGTAGAAAAAGTGCGTGTTATACGCCAATAAGTACTTACCATTGCACATTCTTAACAAATAGTTTTTTCCTGACTCATAAAATGGTTCCTATTAGAAAAAAAATATTTGTTTTTTATATTTGTAAATATACTACATAATAACAAGAGCTATTATTTTTATACCAACTAATGAATAGGCATCAGAGCACAACATTCTTTACAGCAAATTATGAGTGAAAGTAATATCATCCTAGAAATATTTAAGTGTTTATTTTGGAAAGGAGCAACAAGCAATATTTTTTAATAAAAAAAATGTGCAAGTTAATTAGATATGAAAGATATTAAAATAATTATCTAGCAAACATACAATATTGTACCGAGTATCTAAACTTTCTGGGAAAATATCCACACAACAGTAATGACTATACCCCACAAGATTTTTAAACCCTAATCGATACCCAAGATCGGAAAATAAAACAGTGGGTATAAGGAATTTATGGGACACCATGGTTTACAAGAGAGAAATGAGAACGGTGAAAGACTAGCAGACTTCTGCGCAACAAATGAACTTGTTATTGGAGGCAGCGAATTTCAGCATAAAACATCCACAAGATAACATGGGTAACCCCGGACAACAAAACGCAAAACCAAATAGATCACATATGAGTCAGCAAAATATTTAGAAGGTCTCTACAAGATGTACGAGCAAAAAGAGGAGCCAGCTGCTAAGCGAAAAAAATTCAATGTAGCACTTCTGGCAAATGAGCAGAAAAGAGAGGAATTCAGTACTACCTTAAGAAATAAGTTCCAAGCACTGGAAGACCAAAAAGAAGATGACCAAGTACAACATAAATGGCAAAATATAAAGACATCTGTAACGTCCACTTGCCAAGAGGTTTTAGGATCAGTGAAGCAGAAACACTAAGACTGGCTTTCACTTAACACACTGCAAAAAATAAAAGAGAGAAAAGAAATGAAAAGTGTGGTTAACAGTAGCCGCACCAGGGCGGAGAAAGTGAAAGCGCAGAGAAATATAAAGAAGCAAACCTAAAGGTAAAAACAACATAAAAAAGATAAAACTGCTTCCATAAATGGTCTAGCATCAACAGCAGAACAAGCAGCCAGGAGGGGCAACTTGAAAGAGCACTATGATATAACAAGAAAGCTGTCAGGAAGATACAAAAGGCCGGAGAGACCTGTCAAAGATAAAGAAGGTAGATCAATAACGGAAAGGAAAGAGCAACAAAAAAGATGGGTGGAATACTTTAAGGATCTATTTAACAGACCCGCACCCACAGACACACCAGACATACAACCAGCAAATGAAGACCTACAAATAGAAGACAGAGCATCAAATAAGGAAGAAATAGCTCTGGTCATCAAGCAGCTCAAATTAGGGAAAGCATCGGGACCAGATAACATCACAGCAGAGATGATGAGAGCTGATACAGATACAATTGTTAGATGACCCTCTGTTTGAAAAGATATGGGAAGAAGAGAGAGTTCCAAAAGATTGGAAAGAAGGATACCTCAGAAAAGGGATCTCAGCAATTGTGCAAATTACAGAGGAAATACACTGCTGTCTGTACCAGGAAAGGTCATTAACAGAATTATTTTGAATAGATGAAAGACCAGGTCGACATGCAGCTACAAGATCAACAAGCTGGCTTCAACCAAAACAGATCATGCACAGGTCAAATTGCAACACTAAGAATTATTTTATAACAGTCTATCGAATGGAACTCCCCCCAATATATAAATTCATATAGACTACAAAAGGCCCTTGATAGCCTGGACCAACAAACCTTGTGGAAACTTCTTCGCCACTATGGAGTAACAGGGAAACCAGTCAGAGCTCTTATGAAGAAATGACATGCAGGGTGATCCACGATGTAGACTCACAGATGACTTAAAAGTGGAAACTGCAGTCAGACAAGGATATCTCTTGTCCACCTTCCTATTCCTCCTTGCCATTGACTGGATAGTAAAAAAAAAATCCACAGACAAAAAGAGGAATTGGATACGGTGGATACTCTGGGAACAACCTAGACTTTGCTGATGACATTGCACTTCTGTCCCACAACCAGTAACAAATGCAGGAAAAGACAAAAGATGTAGCCACCATTTTAGCACAGCTTGGACTCAATATAAATAAAAGTAAGGCAAAGATCATGAAGGTAAACTCAGCCAAACAAGAGCATATCTCTCTGGCAGGAAAGGCACTAGAAGAAGTAGAGACCTTCACATACTTAGGCAGCACCATCGACATAAATGGTGGATCCGACACAGGCATAAGGGTCTGAATTGGAAAAGCTAGATCAGCATTTGTGCTATGAAAGAAAATATGGGAGTCGAACGAGCTGAAGCTGCAAACCAAAGTCAGAATCTTTAACACAAATGTCAAAACAGTCCCACTATGGAAAATTTTTGTGGATACCCTAGACGGGGTAAAGAGGCGTAAGTAAAGTAAGTAAGTAATCAATACCCATTATATTTTCTTAACTAAATATACAGCTGTTGCACTGAGATAAAGCTTGAGTAGAATTATAAGACACAAAACATTTGTGTAAGTAAAACATTTTGTTATGCTTAAGAAACGTCATAATACAAATTTAGGTGTTTAGTCTTGCACAACATATGGCCCGCCAGCACCCACTTTGCAGCCTGTGAAGTAACGAAATATTCTTTATTCTTATTATTTTCTTAATAGCTTCCCCCCCTGTCCTATTTTCATTTGGTCCGCACAAGTCCTGTCCTATTTTCTTTTGGCCCGCACAAGCTTTTCATATAGTATTAAGGCCCACCTTACATTCTGAGTTGTGTAGGCCTGGTCTAGTGCCTTCCTCAAAACAAAAATGGAATGAATTTAAATTAAAGTAATAGTTCCTTGATTTATAATGTTAAACATTTATGATTCAAATAAAATCCCAACTCTTTAAATAAATTAGTTACACTTTGTCCAATTACGTAATTGAGTGAAGCAGTTTAAACGGCTGTAAAGCAGGATTTTGGTTCACAAGTAAGGCTGTACATGGGATACTTGAATACTAAAGCATTAATATAATATAAATATATATAAATAAACAGAAATAATACAAGTTACTCACAGACTTCCAAACTGTTACTTTATCTTCAACAAGATCAAATATGTCCTCACAGCGCTTAATTGTTAGCATATCAAAAATGTCAGCCATCATCAGAAAAGGAGTTGATGGAGAACACATATCTAATAAGTTAATTTAAAAAATTATTAAGTGTTATACAAAAGTATATGAAATTCTATAAATAACTTTGAAAATTGTTTTTACACTGTATGCTACTCAAGAGAAGAGGAAGAAAAGAAGACTTAACTTAAAGGATTACAATTTGTAAACAATTTCAAACTTTTGTGGCATTAGTCTTGAAAATGCAAATAAGAAAGTGACAAACAGCTGTGGGAATTATTTCACAATGGATTACATGGTTTGGGATGAAATAAATTAAATATAATCATGTCCCTTTTAGGTTTAATGATAAGAATGTATGTCTAATTAATTAATATATGACGAGCTTATTTTCTAAATGCTGTTTATCTAGCTTTGGGGTTTTAAAATACATTTTTTTCCCCTATACAGTGATGACTCAAATTATTGGAAAATTAAATCTCAATTCAGAAATATATTCATAATATAAGTTAGACTAAGATGACAATCTAAATGATGGTAATTATGTTTATTTATTTATTTTTTTTTTCGTTCTTTGAAATGCTGCATATCGAACTATTACTTAAAAACAAAATGCTCTTTATCCATTTTGATAGGATAACATTACTAGTACCAAATATTTCAGTTTGTTTATTAATTAACTTAAATTAAATTTAATAAAATATTTTATATAAATCTGTATGCTCAACTCTTTCCCTGAGGAATTTTTTAATGAAAAAATTTACATTTTTAAAGAACGAAAAAGAGTTAGAGGTTTTGTTTATTAAAAAGAAATTATTTTTTGGTTTATAAGGCTAAAATTGGTATTAAATGAAATATAATTGAATGTTTGTAAATTTAATTCTTCCGTTTAAGTTTAACTAAATAAGTAACAGACAAGAAACTTAAAATGTGCAAAAATGAAATGCAAAACCATTTTTCCCCAAACCCTTAAAGTAGGCATACATCTTCACTGCTATAACTCAAATCATCTATAACTACTATTATCAGAATCATGTGATGGATCTATATCTAAATTATCTTCATAATCATAGATTAATTAGACACGAACAATTTGTATCAATAAAACAATATATGTTCAGCTTTAATAATTATTTTACATAACACACAAGTTAAATTTTCAGCAAATGCCTTCAAAAAAACAAAACATTTAAATAAGTATAAATTAAATTTACATAAGATATATACATGTATCCAACCTAGAAAAATAGAAAAGAATAGAAGTGGGTGAAAAACCCAGGCAAAAACAAAGTAAAGAAGAACAGAAAGGAAGTAATTTGATGTAAAATATTTTAAAAAAACAAAACAAAGAAACAGGAAATTGACATGGCAGCTACGCAAAATTGTGGATTTGGTTTATACTGTATGGAGTCAACGTACCAAGTCTTTTTATTAATTTATTTTCCATATAGATCCTATCCCTTGTATTACTTGTATACAGTATACCAGTAACTGCCATGTCTAAAATTCCATCTTTTTCAGTTAATGTATATTGGCTTGTGTTGCTTATGGTTGAAACGGGATGAAAGACTTTGACTGGGTATGCTCGTATGTAGCTTTATATTGTTGCGTCTGTTTTTAAATGTGGTAAATTTTAGATTGTTTTTATTTATCTTTTTAATATGGTTGACTTTGTACCACGCTTCTAGCTTTTGGGGATGAAGCGTGTTTTTCAAATAAACTTTATTATTATTATTATTACTATTGAAATGTTTGGAGACCGGTCAAAGGGCTTGTTATTTCTGTTATAGAGCTGTTTTCTAAAGCGGTCTCCAAGGCGACGACCAGTCTCTCCTACAAATAATTTACCACACTTTTTACAAAAGGATGGTGTAAATCATGTTGCGACATGTGCAGTTAAAGCCATATTTTATTCTGAATATTTCAATCACGTAGGAACATTTTTTACACCGGGTACGATTGCAACTTTTGGTGCCTTTATGTAATTTAATAGCAGGAAGGTGGCTTCTAACTAGCATGTGCCTAAGGTTCTTCTCCCTTCGAAAAGCGAAAAGAGGAGGTTTTCTGAAAATCTCATTGGTGACAGGGTCTACCATAAGAATTGAATGGTTTTTTCAGAACCAGAAAACAAGCTAGAAGGTTATGGGGATGAAAAGTTAAAATAAATTTAGACCTATCCCTACTGTCAGAATGAGTAGCTTTAAAAGAATCCTGTCAGTCATACCTTTAACTCAAGTGACATAGAAATAGTATAAACACATTTCCAAAGCTTGTTGAGTTTTAATTGTCTAGGAAACTTACACCAATAGGACCTTGGTAATCATAGCAACAGTATCGATAAAGTAAAAAAAACAAAAAACACCAAGAATATTAATAAAATAGAGCTTCAAATGACAACAAATAAACCTTGCTTTCACTCATAAACAATGAAGTATCACTCTCGTCTGTAAAAGTCTAATTATAAAATAAGTCTTCAAACGTTTAACCGAGAAATAGCAAAGAAACAACCATGCTATTGAAACTGTGCAAAGTGCGTTTGTCTGTGCTTTTCAGCACTGTAGATGAACGTACTGTGTGTTGTGCCACAGCGAAAGAGTTAATGAGTTGCTATTTATATATTTTAACAATGCTGAAAAGTCCCCTGTAATTTGTATTGTATAGACTGATACTAGTGTATAATGTATTCATGATTATGTTTTTATAAAACAAATAATTGTAGAAAGAAAAAAAAATTCAATTAAAAAATCATTTTATTTAAATTTAGGAAAAAAAATTCAGATATAGAAAATTAGGCATTGTCTGCTTTGCTTGAGTGTACAGTATCTTTAACAGAATTTATTTATTTATTTAGGCATTTTTTATATAGCGCTTACCTTAAAGCTCTAAGCGCTTTATAATGATTAAAAACATGTAAACTAAGTAAAATAAAAATGAGACACTAGGATAGTAACTACTATACAATAGAAACAATTAAAATGACTATAAAACGAGGACACTTTGGCACGTTTTGGCCTATACTACAGGATCAACCCGAGATAGAAAATAAGGCAGGGCAAGGAGGGTGCATCACAGGTCATAGGAGTATGTATTCTGTCATCAGCACCCAACTTACTTAGAAGATGAAGGACATTTTTTAAAAGCATTTTTAACACAGTTCTTTGACTCCAATACATTTGGTTTAAAATTGTCCCAGTTAGTCCCCTTTTTAATGAGACTATGAGTTTGGTTGCTATTTTCTGATAAGGCTACTAGTTTCTTGTCTCCCCCTCTATTCTCTGGTCTAGTTGTCCCATGTTTAAACTAGTTTCTGGGAATTCTTAAACTCTTAGGCTTTATGACTGAAAATAAAAATATAATTTTAAAAAAATAAAAATAAATTGTCTCCTGGTAAAATAAAAATTTATATTTCATTAGTCTCTATAAACCAGAATGACACTTAATAAAAAATAATATGTAAACAATAATACATAAATCTTTTCATTTTCTTAACACTCCTAATGTCTAGTAACCATGACCATGCAGTTTTGTAACATGAACTTTAGCAATAACTTTATGCATAAAATTTAATACCTTTAAATTAAAATGAAGACCTTTATCTTACTCAAAACAAGCCTTATAAGTTAGAAAAGTTTATGTAAAATAAGTTAGCAAGACGGCCTTATTTTTTAAAATATTTATCATCCAATAATTTATTGCACTAAAAGTATACATACACAATACAGAACAAAATGAAGTCTAGCAAAACTTGTATCTAATCTCCTTCTCTGCACAGGCAGTACTTTTGGCTCATAGTTCTGGATTTTTTCCTTTAATCATCTTTAATCTTTAATGTGATTACATGATACAGAAGTAATCTCCCCTCAGATGGAATGATAAAATAATTTGTATTTTTCTCGCATTGAACATTCTTACTTTTTTTTAGCTTTTACAGTAGAAAAAACTACAGTAGAAACAACTCTTTCATCGCTACCAGCATAATCCACCATTACTGTTTTGCTTAGAGATGTTTGGTGCTCTTGCCCAGAATGCTGCAGAAGTAACTTGCTATTCCACGGATTGGTCCGAAAAAATTTGATAATTTGAAGCATTTGGTAATATAAAAACATTCCAAATGAACAACCATTACCGTGGCATAAAGGTACATGAATTACTCTACAAAAATTACTTTTTTTTAAATAGTTTTTTCAAAATGGCAGATAGGTTTTAAAAATGAGCTCTTCATATTTTAACAGGAATTACCTTGTTTTACTGCTTGAATAGCAAATGTAATGACAGTTTTCAGGAGAGATGTTTTTGAAACATCAGACTGTGGAGAAAAAAGTATTGTACTGTAACATAACTGTTTAGTTAAGATATTGAATAAAATGATGAATAATTTTTTTTGAAATCTTTTAGTTTGAAATTTAAATGTTGCTCATTTCAACTTCACTAGTACAAACAGGTACACGAATATTGTCAATAGTTTAAATAAATTACAATATGTAACTTACTATCATTTTGCAAAGAATGTCTCTAAATACTTGATCCAAAACTGTTCTCTTTTCCAGGAAACTGAAAATGGGAAACATGATTTTGACTCTTTTTAATTACCACACCAAAAATTAATGCTTTTTTGAAAGAAGGGCAATAAAAAAAACTAAACTTAAATATCACAGCTCAGTCTTAATAGCATTGTCATGGTGATAGCATTGTACAACTGTCAACCTTGGCCAGTCTGTGAAAGTGAAGAGTCTTTAAAAAAGGCCAATGCATCATCTTTCTGCTCTTGGGGGAATTAATAAGTTTGACACATAGGCATCGACACCCATTTTGTATAATGGACAAGCAGAATATGAGCTTTCAGATCAAAATGTTTTAGCTGCAAGTTTTTTTTAGTTGTGCAGTCATTGTCACATTGAGAAAATCATCTTTAAAGTAGATCATTTATTTTGTGAAGCTTGACCTTAGCCATAACAAATATTTTGTTCAGTTTTTACTTAATCTCAGATGACACTGTAGCAAACATACTGAATAAAGAAATATTTACATTTCATCTTGATAAGCCTCCACAAAGCTTAGCAAACTTTCAATATCGCTAGCTACAAGAGACTTCTCCAGCACACTCTGTGGTAGAAAAAAGAAGAATGGTTTAAACTATAAAATTAAAACTTTAGGCTAATGTAATGGTTTCTTACCTTAAAAAGACATTACCTATTTGTCATGATTGCCATCAAATTGTAAAATATTACTATGAGAAATACACTTCTCATAATTTATGACACAACAATAATTAATGATCAAGTGACCATGGATGAGGAGAATTGGGGTGTAGTGAAAGTTGAGAGAATTTATGTGCCAATGTGGAGTGGGAGTCATAGATTAGGACTGACTTTTGATGTGGGATGGAAAGAAAATGTTTAGTGAGGGAGGGTCTGTGTCTTAGTATACGCTCTAGGGCAGAGATTCTTAGCCTTTTTGCAGCACTACAGCTCCATTCAGATTTAAACACCCCCACACATCCCCCAATAAAATTTGAATTATGAAAATAATTAAATAATGTATTTTCTGTATGATTATTTCTTTAGCTAACTTTCTATAAAAAAAAACAAGCAAAAAAAAAAAATAATAAAAATGCATAAAAACTGTTTATCTTTTAAAGGCAATAACAACTAGCAATGGCAGCAAATACAATCTTCTGGTCTTCTGCCCCCCCACGGCTGGGAAGGCAGGGGCGTCATTTCAGGTTTTTTTCTGGGGGCAGGGGGGGCGCGACCAAAACTTGGTCGGCTTGTTAAGCTGTTTATTACTGGAGGCGCCAGAGTACATAAACATCATTTATGTCTTGAAAATCTGATTTGGAGTAAATTTATGAGACTAAACACAAAAAATAAATTTTGAAACACACTACGACCAGACGGCTCTCTAAAACGTCGGCATATGTTTTTCTGGCAACATATTAATATTAGGCACTTTGCTGAAAATTTCAAAAAAAAATTTTTGAATATAAAAATACTGCATATGGAGAATAGATTACAAAAACACCAAGAACAACTTTCTAGTTCAAGTGGTTCAATAGCTATGAATTTTTTAGTAGGGACCTCAAAACCACTTTTTTTACTATGGAGTTTTCCTCCACATTTCGTGACCCTCCTTTTGCTTTTTTTTTTAACACCTATATCTTTATTATAAAATGATAAAAAAATACATTATTTACAGGGAACATAAGATTACTTCTGAATAAAGCCACAAAATATAATTAGTTCTTGCTAATATTCCGCAAAAATAAAAAACTTAATTATTTTCCTATTAAAAATGCATAAATATGCTGACTTGTCACTTATTTATAACTAATTAACTAATTTTGTTTAAATATTTTTAAAAATTTTCCCCAAAATAATAATAATATTTTTAAAGATATTAATTTCAAATTTTCTGTGGAGTTGTTCAACATTTATAAATATAAACAAATAATAAAGGGGTTATTTGTTCATTTAGTTAAAATTGATGATTACACTTTTTATTTTATCACTTTCTATGTATGTAATTTAGTCCCATATCATTTTTTTTTTTTAGCACACATATTTTGCACTACTTTTTTTGGTTGCCATCTTGGTTAACATCCAAGATGGGGGCCAAGTGAAAACATGGCATCCATTCTTTAAGTCTAGGTACTTTGATAAAAATATTAAAACTTTTTGTAAAAATAAACCAATGGTTTAGTCATAGTTGAATAGAGCTAATTTTTTAAAGAATTATAACACTAAAATCATATTTTTAGCTGGTGTAGTTTTATAGTTATGAATTTTTAAAGTACGACTTCATTTGTGATTTTTCAACATGGACCGCACTCCACATTCTGTGACCCAATTCCGCTGTTCGCGTCACGAGCTATATAACTCTTGTTTTAATGCTAATTTTATTTTCTGAACTAATGCTGTATTAAAAAATAATTTTAATAATATTAACAATTATTAATAAATTGTAGCTTTTCTAACTATAGACGCCGTGTTCGTATTGGGCGTGGCCCATTTCCTTTGATCTTGGCCTTTGTTTACTACCACTACCAACTAAAAATAATTAATCTATTCTCATAGTATTTTGTGGAAAGTTCACGACTGGACTAGAAAAGTAAATAATGTCCAAGTCGTTTCTGGAATGCGTCTTACGCTGCATATATAATGGGTTCAGAAAAAATTAAGGGACGGAGATCGAGGATAGATATTTTTCACTTCACGAGACAAGTTAGTCATATGTGGTTATTCGCATTCATCATTGTACATTATTAATTGGCACATTGTACTAACATTGTACCGGTACCGGTACAAGACATCCCATACTCTGTAAGTTGATTATTTGAATTATATTTATTTTGTTTTGTAATTATATTAATAACTAAATAAATCTTATTAATTGTAATTAGAACTGTTTTTACTATTATATTTCTCATATTATGGACTGTTAAGAACGAGCCATAACTAAAAATAAGAGATTAGTTTCTCCCAATAGACAGCAGTACGCAACAGAATTATTTTTTAGTCTTGTAAAAAGGATGAATCACGATTGGATCAATTGAAAAATGATTTGAAGATTGCGGTTCACTTCGCTAAAAACAATGCAGTGTCTACACGTCAGGGGACCAGAAAAATAGTGCGGGAGATATTCATCCGGCGGGCATGCCACGCTTTATAAAAACATTATCACTTTTTAGCCATTTGTTCATTATATATACCAGCAATGGTACTAGTATTTCTTTTGTATAATTGATCATATTTCTTTTTCGTGTAAATGTCCAGAGTATCTTTAATTTGTTGAAATGACGTACAGTACACTCTCATCGACAAATAGCGGTCACGTGACAAGGCTGACAGACAAATATCTCGCGCAACTTTGTTATGGTGGTCATGTGACTTGGTCCAATATATAATAGCCGTATGAATATCTCGAGAGCGTATTCACTTATTCGTCCAGTCATCGGACATGTATGCAAATAGTAAAAACAAATGCAACACTTCCAGTCTTTTTTTTTTGGCCACTTTCGGAGTTTTATGACGGGTGAAAAATTTTAAAGTTCGAAAAATTAGAATTTTAATGGGTTTGTCGGAAGGTTGGAATGAGGGGTAAAAAATGTGTATAATTCCGACAAAATCGGAAGGATTTGCAGGTCTGAAATATACATTGATAGATAATACAGAGTAAGTCTTAATATGAAAGACATAAAAGTTGAACTTCTATACACATTTTTTAGGTAAAGATGCCTAATATATATTTAAGGGTAATTTCAAAATACAGGCTATTATATATTCGATTGAAAAATCCAAACAAATCAATGAAAATGTAGGCCATAATGTCTACCAAAATGTAAGGCCGGAAACGGAACTCAAATATTTGTCAAAAGTATTCATTTAATAATAAATAAACACACACATCGGAAAATTTAAAACACGTATTTTTCGGCGCCGATTCCCCATTTTCAATACACAAAAATTAGTATTCTCCTTTGCTTCATCGTAGTACCTACATTCTTTGCATTTACCATAAAAATAAGAGAATACATTTAAGTCACCAACTATCAGTAGAAACTTTGATGAAAATTTCTAAACATTTTAAAAAATATAAAAATACTACAGCTGTATAGAGCCAATAGAGTGGTTTACAAAAACACCAAGATCAACTTTCTAGCTCAAGTGGTTCAAAAGTAATTAATTTTTTAGTATGGACCTCAAAAGCACTTTTTCACTATGGGATTTTCCTCCACATTTCGTCCCCTTTATATTGCTATTGTTTTTATGCCTATAACGTTGTTATAAAATGAGACAAAAATATAATATTTACAGAGAACACAGTTCTTCAAAATTAAGCCACAAAATACAATTTTAGTTTTTGTTAATATTCGACAAAAAATATTATAATCTTGATAATTTTCCTTATTTAAAATGTATCAAATATGCTGACTCGTAAGGATTGTTGGGGGAATTTTTAAAAAAACTGTAAATTTGGAGAGATAGTACCATGGCCGCCATCTTGGTTGTTATAACTAGGGGTGTGCCGGATCCGTTTTGTCCAACCGGATCCGGATTTTCTTATGCGAAATCCGCCGGATCCGGACTCCGGAATAATCCGGATTCCGGTTTCTCCCTGATTTTGGTACTATTGGTAGATACTTCGGTAAGTCAAGGTGGACTACTACTTTTTGTGTATGGGAATTCGAAATCGGCGCCAAAAAATCCGAGTTTTTAATTTTCCGATGTGTGTGTCTATTTATTATTAAATTAGTACTTTCGATATATATTTGAGTTCCGTTCCATTTGGATAAGTGTCTTACGAGAGACGCCATGTTTCTACGCGTTCGCAGCAGGTCATGCAGCTCGCTCAACCTAATTTCGCCATGGGGTTGGCCACGCCCCCCTTTTTAATGGCGGAAGTTGACGATACTTAGGAAATATTAATATATTATCACTATTTACATCAAAATAATTGATAACTTGTGTTTCAGAATGCATTTAAAGACATTTAAACTGGAATGTTTTAATTTGAGCTTTAACAACCCGGTAGAATCCATATTATAAATGATCAGAAAGTTTCATTCATAAGAGTTTGCCGTGTGCAAAAACTATTAAACCATTGGTCAGGGAAAGCTTTAATTAATTATTCATGTGCCAAAGTTGAAAGTTTAAACTAAGTCTAAACAGTATTTTAGTGATAAGGCAGGGAATGCGTTGCCTTATATAAACTATATAGTCATTGCGCATGACGGGATTGGCGGAATGAGATCACAGAATGTGGAGATGCAGTCCATGTTAAAAAATGACAAACCAAGTCGTACTTTAAAAATTCATAACTTTAAAACTACAACAGCTAAAAATATGATTTTGGTGTTATAATTCTTTAAAAAATTACATCTTTTCAACTATGCCATTGGTTTATTTTTACAAAAAGTTTAAATTTTCTTATCAAAGTCCCTACACTATTGGCCACTATTAGCAGTGCTGACTCTAGCCTCTGGTATGTACGGAATATTAAACATTAAACAAGCTCAACGCTCGAAAAAATCGATTAATGTATCGTGATCGTGTGGAATTCGGGAAAGAGAATTACTTTTATTTCAGATTATGATCCGGTGAGTCACAAAAATCTGGCAAATTCCGAAATCCGGTATATTACGGATTCCGGAATCCGGTTGTTCCGGATACATGTAAATCCGGCGGAACCGGATTTCACCGGATAGTGCAAAATCCGGCGGAACCGGATTCCGGACCGGGGTCCGGCACACCCCTAGTTATAACCCATGAACTTATGTCCTAAATGTATCCCTAAACCTAACCTGAACCCTAAATGGATCCCCAAACCGGCTAATGTGAAGAGATAGCACCCTGGCCCTGATGTAATTTGTGTGTTTTGTCCCTAATTCCGATAGGGTCAAAACCCTGGCTCCGATAAGGTCAAAACCCAGGTTTGGGATAAGTTTAGGGTTCAGGTTAGGTTAAGGGTTCAGGGATAAATTTAGGACATAAGTTCGCCATGGTAAAAAAAAAACTGTGCTATCTCTTTACACTTACCCCTTAATCTAACCTGAACCCTAAAATGTATCGCCTAAAACCTGAACACTAAAATGTATCCCTAAACCTAACTTGAACCCTAATTCACTGCAACTTAAATAAACACGCAAATGACAACCAAAATAAACACGCAAATGACAACCAAAATAAACACGCAAATGACAACCAAGATGGCAGCCGTGGTAATGTAGATACTTCGCCGAAGCAAGGGACACTCCTAGTAAATCTACATGCATAGGAGCCAAAATGATCAATAAATTGATCGTGGGCCCTTAAGATATAGAAGAAGAAGAAATTTGTATCGGAAATGGGCATCGGCGCAGTAGGATCCGAGTTTTTAATTTCTTCATGTGCATGTAATTTGAATAAATTAGGAGTCCTTTTGGCCCATAATTAAGGTTTGACTCCGCCCATTAACGTTAGAAGAAATGTTGAACTACATTCCCATTGAGTTAATTTGTTCTTTATCTCAACTTTAAGTGAGGAAAATCGTATGTCAACATAAGGCATCTTCGCATTAAAAAATTCGGTCTAAATATTCAAAGTAGGTCTTTCATATTAAAAGTAGGCCTGCATAATTTGTTGAAGTACACGTGTGCAAAATTTCATTGAGATAGCTCATGAAACATTTTCACAATTCTCCTCAACGTTGACCTCATTATGCAAAGGATGCACAGGCTATTATGGATTAGTGATCTCGTCCCCTTTTAAATGGGGGAAAACGCTATACTTAGCTTAAGAAATATTCATTATTATCTCTATATACATCAAAATATTTGATAACTTGTGTTTCAGAATGCATTTTGAAAACATTTAAACTAGAATTTTTAAATTTGAGCTTTAAAATCCCGGTAGAGTCCATATTATTAGCGATCAGAATTGACTGTGTGCAAAAAGTCATGGGAAACCACAGCCGTTTGCATACTGCTATGCCGTAGTACAAACGACTACCTCAAGTTTCATTCATAAGAGTTTGCCGTGTGCAAAAACTATTAACACCATTGGTCAGGGAAAGCTTTAATCAAGTTTAGTTAATTAGTCATGTGCTGAAGTTGAAAGTTCAAAATAAGTAAAAACAAGGGTAAAAACAAGAACAAAGTACAGAAGCTCCTCATTCCTGCCGAAGACAATAGGGGACTGGAACAAGCTTCCAAAAGCAACCGTTGAAGCAGCTACACTAGACACATTTGTGTCTATTGCCTCCTGTATTCCAACCCCCAGTTCATAACACCACTGCTGAGTCGCCCTTGCAACCAGTGAAGTATCCCATTGAAACCCATGGACAGTAACATCGCAAACCCCTCTGAAACATAGGAGCCAGAATGATCAATTCATTGATCGTGGGCCCTTAAAATAAAGAAGAAGAAGAAGTACATACCAAACAACATTTTAGGGGGTGGGTTGTCTTATATAGACTATATAGCATTTACCAATAAAATGGACGCTGAAGATTTGGTAAACAGAAAAGCCATATATTAATACATTATATTAAATTTACTGATGATATAAATAGTGCATAGTTAGATAAGCTATAATTTATAATTGTTAACATTATTAAAATTATTTTTTTAATACAGCATTAGTTCTGAAAATAAAATTATCATAAAACAAGAGTTATATAGCTCGTGACGCGAACAGCGGAATTGGGTACCAGAAAATAGAGATGAGGTCCATGTTAAGAAAGGACAAATTAAGTCTTACTTTAAAAATTCATAACTTTAAAACTACAACAGCTAAAAATATGATTTTGGTGTTATAATTCTTTAAAAAAATTAGCTTTTTTCAATTATGCCATTGGTTTATTTTTACAAAAAGTTTTAATTTTTTAATCAAAGTACCTATGGCAGATACTTCGATGAAACAAGGGAGACTACTATTTTTTGTGTATCGGAAATGGGCGTCGGCGCCGAAAAATCCAAGTTTTTAATTTTCCGATGTGTGTGTCTATTTATTATTAAATTAGTTCTCTCGACATACATTTGAGTTCCGTTTCCGGCCTTATAATTTGGAAGACATCTTGGCCTACATTTCTAGCCAGCTATTTTGCTTTTTTCAATCGACCTTTATTTTGAAAATCTTTGGTATATATATAAGGCATCTTCGCATACAAAATTTTTTGTGAAATAATAAGATAAGGCCCTTTTTGATTAAATCTGTATGAGCATTAGATATTGATCTATATCTGTGCCAAGTTTCATTGATGTAGGTCGTGTCTCACGTTTGTTACGATTGTCACAGTGACCCATATCACCATAAGGTGGCTCAGCCTAATTTCGACATGGCGTAGGCCACGCCCCCTTTTTAATGGCGGAAGTTGCCGATACTTAGGAAATATTTAATTATTACCACTATTACATCAAAATATTTTATATTTTGTGTTTCAGAATGCATTTTGAAGACATTTAAACTGGAATGTTTTAATTTGAGCTTAAAAAATCCTGTAGAGTCCATATTATAAATGATCAGAATTTTCCTTGTGCAACACGTTGTCATTGGCAACCATTCACATCCACTTGCATAACGGCTATATCGTAGTACTATCTCAGAGTTTCATTCATAAGAGTTTGCCGTGTGCAAAAGCTATTGAACCATTGGTCAGGGAAAGCTTTAATTCTTTCCGTGTCAAACGACAGTATACTGTCGATTTGACTGGTCGCGTTCGTGCCAACCCACAGTATACTGTCGATATCATTTATATAGTTTATTTCGTTTCCTATGGCTCTTAATCCGACTTTTTTTGTTCTTAAACGAAGGATAACTCTTACTACTTCCTTTTTTTAAGAAGTAGGGCATGTTTTGCAAGTGTTTTTTTTGTAAACAAAGCCATGGCTACGCCCACTCCAAGCATGTCAGCTGTTGCTAGACCACGTAGGTAGTCAATTTTGCAAATAAAAGAACTTTTATTGCTAATTATTGATGCTGAAACAACAGACAATAACCATGAATCATTTGAATCTGATTCCAATGATGATTTTCAGCATTCTGATGGGTCGGTTTAGGGAAATAGTAATAGAATGGTGATAGTACTGATAGTAATAGTAATACTAGTAATAGTGGTACTGTCGGCAATTTCATACAAATTTCAAAACATTTTTAAAAATATAAAAATACCACGAATGTATAGAGCCTAGAGAATGGATTAAAAAACACCCAGATCAACTTTCTGGCTCAAGTCGTTCTAAAGTTAAGAATTTTTTTCAAAACCACTTTGTTACTATGGCAACAGTGAGGATTCAGATAAGAATACTCCTAACGTTACAAAAATGGGTGGAATATTATGATTTGTGATTAAATATAGGATATTTCAATACCAAAGGTAAGTGAATATTTTAAAATGTTTTACTTAGTTTATGCCTTAAGTAAGAATCACTATATTCATTAAAATTTTATTACATATCCTAAAATATCCTTAAATATAATTTATTATAATAGGCCCTACAAATTAGTTGGGTTGGGTCTAGGCCTTAACCCTGATATAGTATACTTTGTATTATACTATATGTATACAAGGCCTATCCTATGGTCATTATATCATTATATCTATATATATATTTATATAAATAAATATCTGTCTATATTTATAGACTAATATAAATGATAAATATCTTAGTTGTAATAAAAGCTATTTATCCCACTCCTTAAATCATTTATAATTAGGGGTGTGCCGGACCCCGGTCCGGAATCCGGTTCCGCCGGATTTTGCACTATCCGGTGAAATCCGGTTCCGCCGGATTTACATGTATCCGGAACAACCGGATTCCGGAATCTGGAATATACCGGATTTCGGAATTTGCCAGATTTTGTGACTCACCGGATCATAATCTGAAATAAAAGTAATTCTCTTTCCCGAATTCCACACGATCACGATACATTAATCGATTGTTTCGAGCGTTGAGCTTGTTTAATGTTTAATATTCCGTACATACCAGAGGCTAGAGTCAGCACCGCTAATAGTGGCCAATAGTGTAGGGACTTTGATAAGAAAATTTAAACTTTTTGTAAAAATAAACCAATGGCATAGTTGAAAAGATGTAATTTTTTAAAGAATTATAACACCAAAATCATATTTTTAGCTGTTGTAGTTTTAAAGTTATGAATTTTTAAAGTACGACTTGGTTTGTCATTTTTTAACATGGACTGCATCTCCACATTCTGTGATCTCATTCCACCAATCCCGTCATGCGCAATGACTATATAGTTTATATAAGGCAACGCATTCCCTGCCTTATCACTAAAATACTGTTTAGACTTAGTTTAAACTTTCAACTTTGGCACATGAATAATTAATTAAAGCTTTCCCTGACCAATGGTTTAATAGTTTTTGCACACGGCAAACTCTTATGAATGAAACTCTGAGGTAGTACTACGATACAGTTATGCAAGTGGCTGTGAATGGTTGCCAATGACAACGTGTTGCACACGGTAAATTCTGATCATTTATAATATGGATTCTACCGGGTTGTTAAAGCTCAAATTAAAACATTCCAGTTTAAATGTCTTTAAATGCATTCTGAAACACAAGTTATCAATTATTTTGATGTAAATAGTGATAATAAATTAATATTTCCTAAGTATCGTCAACTTCCGCCATTAAAAAGGGGGGCGTGGCCAACCCCATGGCGAAATTAGGTTGAGCGAGCTGCATAACCTGCTGCGAACGCGTAGAAACATGGCGTCTCTCGTAAGACACTTATCCAAATGGAACGGAACTCAAATATATATCGAAAGTACTAATTTAATAATAAATAGACACACACATCGGAAAATTAAAAACTCGGATTTTTTGGCGCCGATTGCGAATTCCCATACACAAAAAGTAGTAGTCCACCTTGACTTACCGAAGTATCTACCAATAGTACCAAAATCCGGAATCCGGGAGAAACCGGAATCCGGATCCGGCGGATTTCGCATAAGAAAATCCGGATCCGGATCCGGTTGGAAAAAACGGATCCGGCACACCCCTATTTATAATAGTATAATTACTATTATAATACTTTTACTAAGCCTATCACTATCTAAGTTCTAAGTCAAAGGCAAGAGCTCATCATTCCCATGTCAGTGTCAGCCAGGTCCATGGCAACCAACCCAAAAATTAAAATCACTGATATTCAATAAGCTAATAATAATTATTTATGTGATAAAAATTTTTTATTTATATAAAATGATTTATTGTTAGTTATATTTCCCTTTTACCCTCTGGATAACCAACTTAATGAATTATTAATTACCCCACGGGTGCTATCGATAATTGGAAATAAGCAGACAAGCACGGTGGCCATGATGACAAATTACATAGCCTAAAAAAATGACATCTTGGAAATTCGTTTTTGAAGCCCACCCATAGTCCACACTCATGAATTTTGGATATGATGTAAATGAACCTATAAATTATATGAGCGGAGTTTTTTTATTACGGAGCGCATTTTTTTTTAAAAGTTATTCTTGTGTGAAGTTGACCAATTTTTAACTTCAATTTTCAAAGCTTTAATCTTGACCCAAAAAATCAAACGAACTCTTAATATAACAATAACAGGAAAGATGTCGGCTTTAAGTAATTGGCGGAAGTAAAATTATATTAATATGCTAAAAATCAATTATAAAGCGCGAAACGATACCCTCAGTAAATTAAAAAGTAGAGGTCGCCATTATGACAACGAATATACGATATCCGTTTTTCGGGTATTTCCAGTCGATACCAAGACCAAGGTATTTACTTTACTATAGACTATACTATACTTATACTATAGTAGCCAAGAAAAGTTATTGCTGTACAATTTAGTCTTAGTGCTAACTAATACGGTCTGGACTAAATTTTATAAAGAATACACGTAAGATTACATGTGATAATACGAAATTCGATCAGACTGACGTACCTGACTTAGTATTCTATTTTTAATTTGAGACCGCCCTTCCAGGGTTCTGAGGCTCTGAGGAGAGCCGACAATTGCTCTCTAAATTTATTGGCGCTTCTCTCCCTAATAAATATTGAAGGAGGTTCCTTTAAAATGCTATATGGACCATTCTATTTTACAATGTCAATAATCTTTTATCTTTTGCTTTTTCTGGTACATTTTTTTTACCTTAAAAACACTTCTCCCTTTGTCAAACTCCAGCGTTATGATGGCGGCCATCTTCAACCCTATAAACTAAGGCTGCATCTATAGGTACCCGGGTACCTATGGTCGCCAATGACAATTCGCACCCGGAGTGGCTCCGTACATATTAAATGGCTTCGGAGCCGAATGTGATAACAAAAATAGCAATAATAGTATGGTTTATTTGATTGATTATTCATAGTTTTATTATTTTTAGTTGTTTCTTTTATTTTTGCTTTGTTAATTTCTCTTAGTACCGGTAGATTTTTTTCTTTCTTATTTTCTTTTTTTAGTTTAAGCCATTTTCGGAGAACAATTTTTTTTTTAATCTAGTAATGAAGATGATTTAGATACATTTATTGTTTTTATTTGAATTTTAGAAAAGTAATATTAATTTAATTATTAAAATTAAATCCTTTATTTAAGATTATTTATGTGTATTGGTTAAGTTAAAAGATTTAATCACACAGTACTTTATGAATTAATTAGGTATTCTAAATAATGAAAATTTCATTCATAATGAATTTATTTCAACTTTTCCTCTAGAGAGCTTGGCTTAGTCAGAACAAAACCACCAATTTTAAACCTTTTCCTTGGCACTGGGAGTCATAAATGCGGACACTAACTGTTATTCCTGATATCTTGAATCTCCTTTCAACAACCTTTCTCATTTGACTTGACCTAATTCACAAGGTAGTTGCAATGAACATTTTAGACTTAAAGGATGCCATTGTATAAAGTATGAGAAAGAGACTTATTTTTGGAGGACTAGTCTTTTTTTTTTTTTTACCACATCTGTCTGCTGGGTCTAACACACTGGTACATAATTTAATAGAAAAAAAACCCTTAACTGACTTGCAAACATTTTTGTTCGGTTGTTAGTTATTTGACTTGTGTACTCAAGTAATCCATAAAATAAATTAGGGGCCAGTATGGAGTAGGCAGCCATTAAACTCATTCAATTAGGTCACATCATTCCTTTGCCATTTGTGTCCTTTTACTTTCTCACCCTCCTTGTTGATACCCGTACAGTTAACTATTGTTTGTACTGTATCATTTCTTCATTTAAGTACAGACGTAATGATTGAGTGGGAGCAAATATATGTGATCTGTGAAGGGAGTTTGGTTTCAAGGCAACTAAGTCATGCCACATTGAAAATAAAATACTGATAACCTAAATAAATAGAGCCATTGAAAAAAATACAGTACATACAAACCATACACAAACAGAAAGACAAAAATCCACTAAATTTTTAGAAAAAATTTGTTGTGACTTTTATTGCAAAAAATTAAACATTTAATACCAATTTTGACTTTACGCAAAATGATTAAAAACAAATTTGTATTGCATTGTATTGTAAATTATTGTACTGTATTGTAAATGAAACTTGGCATACATATTAAGAATAACATTGACAAAAAGTTTAAAGAAGATTATTACACAGCAGTTATTGGAATTGTTACAAATGGCATGTATGTGGGGGTCACATAAATATTTGAGAACTCTTCAGGGGTAGCAAATGTAAAAATGTTATAAAACTTTCTAGTTGGATATATATATATAAAAAAAGCACTCTTGAATTTCGTAAAGAATATCAATGAAAAGAAGCATGCAATGTTTGAAGGCTGTAGCTAGAATACTTTTCCTCCTGATTCATTTGGCGTTCCTTAAAAATCCGGAAAATGCAAAATTGAGAAAAATGAAAAAAAAAATTAAAAAAATTGTGTTTTTTTTAAATTAGAGGCTGCATGAACGATATAGGATGCATACACCATGTACATATATCCTTCATGATTTAAAAAACAATTAGAAAACTAAGACAGAAAAGATAGGAAAAAAAATTAACACACGAACCTAATAAATAAAATGCATAAATACAAACATTCTCTGAAAACTTTTCCTATGAGACATTTGTTTAAAAACAATCCATCATAAAGTAAAGAATCTCAATATAAATAAGCATGCAAAGTTTCAATTATGTAGTTCCAAAACTATTCCTCCTGATTCATCAATTGATGTCAGAAAAAAAATATGAAAATGCTATATCTATAAAAGCTGAAAAAGACACCGAAACAACATTGGATGCATACATCATGAACACATTCCAAAAAATTATTGTTAGGTTGTAAGACAAAATTTGGTATCAAATGAAAGATAATTGAATGGACTATATGTTTGTAAACTTAATTCTTCAGTTTAACTAAAGGAACATTAACTAAAATAAATTACCACAAATGACATCCGAATAGGTCTATTGGACCCGGGTTTGAATAGCGACAGCCATTTATTTACAAACATTCACATCTTTATTTTATACAAGTAGTGAACAATTGTTGGGGCAGCTATCTTTTTCTTTTCAGGGTAAAATTTTGCTTTACCTTCGGTCGCCCCTTTGGTCGCACTCTGTCAAAGTTAAGCTTCCCAAAGGAATTAATACTATTTTCAGTTTCAATTTTTTCGAAATTATTTGCAGCAACTGTTTCCTCGTGGGAAAAATGAATGTCATTTATATCAACAAAATCAATTAGTTGACTTTGAATGAAACTTGTTTGTGGTTCACCTTCATCAAGTTGTGACCCCGATTCATTTTCATCTAAATTTTCAGGACTTTTCCAGAGACTTATAGTAGTTTCAAGAAAGGATATTTTCTCTACAAAATCTTGTTCTCCTTGCATCGCCAAAAAATTTGCCAAGCCCATACAAATTCTTTTAGCATGATTAAACCGACCCTCTTGAGTCTTAAAATTATTGTTTCTAGTAGATACAATTTGAGAAGTTACTGAACCACTAGAAGTAGAAGCAACCACTCTAGGAACACTATGTTTGCTAAAACGGCATGGAATTAACTCTGAACAAAATTCTGGAAGCTGTAAATGTCTTCGAACTGAAAAAATATGTCTGCAAGGTAATGCCATCTTTTTAGCAAATGAACAATTACATTGAACTGATGTTGAGCTAAAAATACGTTCCTTATAAGCTACTGAAAAAAGTTCTGCCTCTCCAGGGACAACAGAGTACGGAACAGATCGTGACAATTTGAGCTGATTGAGCAATAGAGCAGCAGCAAAGGAAGTAGCAACACTTTCAATCTTATTTACACTTTCATCATTATCAGATGACGTATACTGAGCTGTGTTTGCAGCAAGCAATCTTAAACGATCACATACTGTAATTTTGCAGTTGTCAAAAGACATAAGGTTACGAAGAGCAGATGAAAAAGAAAGATAATGAGTCAAACTCTTTTTTATTTTGGCATGATAAGACTCCAAGTGATTTGTTGTTGTCGCATGGAGTCTTAAAACATCAGCATTGGATGATGCTGCCCATAAATGGGCCTTACTCCACCAGTTTGACTCAAAATACTCCAAAGCTACATCAGGAAGAGTATCTTTCATGTCTTGCATTAACTTTAAAAATTCATCACACGACTCAGTATAAACTTGAGACATAAATCCTTCAAGAATTGGCTTAACATGCTCAGGACCTACATGTTTCGAAAGAAACCTGTGCACAGCCTGGTTAATGTGAAAATGACATAGATTAACAGGTACATTTGGAAAGAGATCATTTATAGCAGAGATTTCAGCCATGTCTTTGTCAACCACAAAGCACTTGAAAAGACTGGCATCAGAATTCTTCAGAAGAAGCTGCAAACAAAGAGAAATAGATTCCTTATCTTCATTTTTTACAAAACCATGAAGAACAGGAATGCCCCTGCCCTCTCCATCAATAACCATGACAGTCAAAAGTGGATATAAATATTTATTGGTTTTATATGTGAAATCCATTAATAAAACCTCTGGATATTGGGCAATAATTCTAATCATATCATCAGTCATGTATGATAAATACTTAAATTCCCCACTTTCTGTTAGTCCATAGGACACACTTCCACCAGCTTGTGATATAGAATGAAGTATAGATTGAGTTTCAGTTGCATCAGAAGATGATTTATTTATTCTTGACTTAATATTGTAAATGTCCCTGGGAAGCAAATCCACATCATGCTGTTGTTCAAGCACTTGCCGGGCCTCAGATGCCTGAATCGTGGTGCAGGACATCAACAGAAGCGTTGCCGCATTTAGTTCCACCTTGCGGTTTTCCGGATACAAGCGGCACATCTGGAAAAAAAATACACAAAGGTTACTTTGCAATAATAAGTATTATGTAAAAAAATATGCTCTGCAAACATTATTATTATTAGTGGTCTTATAAAAGGTTCCCTTTAAGCTGCGCTGCCGCGCAGCCATCTCACAGGCGCTGCGCAGCAGTTTTGAGTATCCGCACAGCAAATTTCATTCTAAGTGTGTGTTTGTGTTTCTGGACTGTAAAATTTTGCACACAAAAAAATTGATGCTGTAAAACTTTGCACATAACTGTATGATTTTGCACACAAAACAACAAACCTTAGAGGGAACATTGGTCTTATATAGTGCGGTACCCCAGCCTAGGGCTGGGCTCACCGCTGTGTACATAAAAATAACTAACCTTCACCTTGGGGATAAATGTTTTATGTTTATTATATGTCACAATAATCAAAATTAAGATTAAAACTCTGTCTGGACTATTTAGAATTTATTAAATTTAATTATACTGTTAAATAGATTTGTCTTAATTTTTTTCAAAACCTTTCTATGGTAAGGGTGGTAACCCTAACCTTAACCAAAAGTTTTCAGTGATAAAATTTCTGAGCGCCCTAGATTGAATGGGTTAATGAATGGTATAAAACATTCTTTTAAAATGCATCCATCTAAACTCTATAGTACTAGAGACTAGAGTACCTGTAGGTGACAACAACCTGCCACAAGAATAAGCTATTTATTATTATTATGTAAATATTTTTCGCAGCACATGCACTTACTTCTTTTGATACTTCATGGCCAGTATTCAGTATGTTCATGCATTGATTTGGTAATTTCTAGCCGAGATGGATTTCTCTTGGCAACAAACTTTATCTTTGCCTGGCATCCCAATTTGAAAGAACTGAAAAATATAAAAATTCTCAACGAATTGCCAAAAGTGGTAGGGGCTAATGTAGAGCACGAATGCCACGGCGTCATTT